ACTGCAGGGATGCTTCATTGCCTGTTATCAACGATACAGCCACCATTGCCAGTGATGGTGGACTGTGAAATTTACCACTGGAACAAAATTCACAGGAAAGACTTTATAAGGTAAAATCTTTCATAGTTCCAACCGGAAAGGATTGCAGATATGCCGAAGTTTATCAAAGAAAGTAAGGAATTTTCCGAACTTTCCTATGTCACACCTACTCTAGATTTTTTATGTGGAGTAATTGCCACAGATTAGAATGTTTCTACACGGAATGTGTACAGATGTCAATAAACATGCACTCATGAAGCCCCGTTCACATGCGCCTATATACACACGATGAGCACAAATTTTACATATATTTAGCGCATGTGAAGGGGGGGGGGGGGGTAAGCAAGATTTGCATGTGAGTATTTTTACTCCTAGTGCAAAATTTACATGTAGTCAGACTATAGATGCAAATTAACTTTTACATGAGTAAATTAAATACTGGTGTATTTTCAGTCATGTGAACGCGTAGCAAAATTTACACAAGGCTGGAAATGTTTTAGTTGTCTATAAAATATAGCATCATTGATTTCATTTAAAAATGCACCTTTTTATATAATGGATGGAGCAGTGACTTTCTGATGTATTATTATTAAGTCCAATATTATTATTTTAGGTAGTATTTAAACAAGAAATGACAATTTTTGCTCTTTTAAGTGCGACGGAGGAACATTGAGATGAAGAGCAACTACATATCCCGAACAAGTATTTACAAATACTTTAATTGAAAATGCCAATTTAATACATAATTATTTTGTTAAGAACATTCTGATTGTACACACTTTAAGTACTCTGAAGTTGATATTAAAAAGATGCTCGAGTTTCTGATTGATAATGTCTATGTAGTTTTTGGAAATCAGGTCTTCCAACAATCTGTTGGAATTCCCATGGGTACCGATTGCGCTCCCTTATTAGCAGACCTTTTTTTGTATTCATATAAAGCAGAATGTATTCAAAAATTTCTACATGAGAAGAAGAAAACACTTCGACGACGTATTATCAATTAAGAATAGTTACTTCCATTCATATGTCGACTCGGTATATCCCAGTGAGCTTGAAATATAAGGTACCACAGAGTCTGACAAATCTGTTTCATATTTGGATATTTTACTAGAAAAGACGTTAATGGTAACCTAACAACAAAGCTTTATGATAAACGTGATGACTCCATTTTTTCAACTGTTAACTTCCCTTACTTATGTAGCAATATACCCTTATCACCTGCATATGGGGTTTTGTCTCCCAGTTCATTCGATACGCAAGAGCATGCTATACGTATGAACAATCTCTAAAACGATTGACAAACAAGTTGATGAAAAGGGAATATCAACGGTCTCGTTTGAAGTCATCATTTTGCAAGTTTTATGGTCGATTCAATGACCTTGTCAGCAAATACAACCTACCATTAAGTCAAATGCTGACTGACGTTTTTCTTACTAATTGTTAGGCCATTATTACACACTGAATTGTCGACGGATTTTTCCGTTTCCCCTGATCATAACAAGGAGCACACGGCTGGTGTGACCGGTCGGGGATGCTCACTCCTCCATGGCACTTGATCCAACCTCTGATATTTTTGGAGGTCCGTTTTTGCTCCGTCCCCGATTTGTGTTGTTTAAATGGACTTTGAGCTTGAATACTGTTCGTTATTTCCATAGTTTGAGAGTGAACGTGAATCCGTCGCAAAAAAGACATTTACACACCAAGAGTAAAATTTGAATGTATGTAAAATTTACAACCGTAAGTAAGTGAGTGGGCTTTAGTTGTATTGTATGTCTCTAGTGTATCAATGTACAAAGAAAATGGGACTATCACGAAGAGATTAAAGTCCGGAGATTTATTAATTTACAACACAGGAATAAAGATTTTTGGATTTTGACTATACAACATTAAACAGGATTGTAAATGTCATGACTAGGAATTACACGTTAAATCAGAGGAAGACTGGCAAAAGATCTAGGCAGCACGCTTAATCTCGTTTTTACCCCCCCCCCCTTTTTTTTTTTTTTTTTTTTTTTTTTTTTTGTAAACAAAATTTTCGCTTCATTCGGGTCTTTAATTTCAGAATGGTAATGCATCTATTATTTTAGATACTCGGTTAACAAAGAAGCCCACGGGTCACAAGTTCACCTAAAGTATATCCTATGGTCAATTTGATACTACATAGTTATATTAATTACGGAATAACTATAATTTCCTCACTAGTTACATGTACCCAGGTTCGAAGGCAAGCACAGTTAGAGGAACATATGTAACGGGTAACTTTCTTATGACAGCATCTGCTGGTGTTTATCCTAGGGGCCAATGAGGGTTGAAAAACAACGTTCATCTACAAAAACCTATTCTCAGAACCCCTCTTAATTTTACGCAGTATTTTTGGAATATCATTTGTATTGTCCTGTAGATTTGCAATAAGGGGAATTTTAATTCTCATCCGGGGGGCCAACTGGAGGCCGAAGCAACATTTTTCTACAAAAACCTTGTTCCCATAACTGCTCTTAAATGTTACGCATGCAGTAGCCATATCATATTTTGGATTATGAATGGTACGTGGTGTTTTGTAGATGTGCAAGAAGGATTGAGATTTCTCTTGTTCATCAGAAAGGTCAGTTGGGGTCGAAGATCGATTTTTCCATACAAAAACCATGTTCTCAGAACTTCACATTTTAAGCATTAGTTATTACATGTAGTATATCGGAACATCTATAATAATTTGTGATTGATGCTGTCTTGTAGATGTGCAATGGGGTTTCGGAATTTTCATCCTGGGGACGAATTTGGGGTCGAAAGTTTCTTTACTACATAAAAACTTCTTTCATAAACTCCCTTTTCATTCAGGCCCGTAGCAACGGTTTCAAAAGGGGGGGGGGGGCAACTTCCAAAAATATCTGACAAGCAAAAAAAAAAACAAACAAACAAAAAACAAAAAACAAAACAAAAAAAAAAAAAAAAAAAACAAAAACAAACAAAACAAAAACACCAACAAAAAAGAAAACTTAACTTCTCAAAATTGTCTGACAAGCAAAATTAAAAAAGAAAATAAAAAATATTCTGATAATTTAACTAACAAACTTGAATTTTCAAATTCAGACTGTTAAAAAATATCTTATCAGGGTATTCGGACGTGCATGCACAAGAAGTCTTTAAATATCGTAAGTCGTCAATCAACAATCTGAAAGCTGCTCGAAATAGGATACACCGATGGAACAGACAGACATGAACTGGGTATAAATATCACTTTTTAGTTGAAAGAATGTACCTTCACACGCAATGGTAAGAGGTACATACAATTTTACATTCCGTGACATATGCTTGTTGCATTTGTTCATGGTACCAAAATGATGAACTTTATTCGGTTTTATAATCATACTTTACTAATTCTCTATGCTTATGAACTGTTACAAGGGTTGCTCCATACATCTTCCCATTTGGAAAGCAAAATTGCAGGCGTGTTTAAAAATCTATATCTGAGGACTAAGAATCGTCCTAAGATACACTTAAGACTCGTATGCATCGACACATTTCACTTCTTATCGAGGTTTTCGAATGTGTCTTATCTTAGGAAAATTCCTAAGAATTGTCTTAATCTTCACTGGCGGATTTAGAGGGGGGCCCAGGGGGTCCGCCTCTCCCCCCTTCTGCGTCCAAAATATACATAAGATTTAATAAATCAATTTTTTTGGTGTTCTCGTGCGCCCCTTCCCCGACCCGAAACTGCCCCCCCCCTTCAAGATTCCTGGATCCGCCACTGATCTTAAGTCTTAGGCTTATGTTAAGAAAAAATGCCGCGTCCATGTTGCTTGTGGCTAGTCGAAATCGCCGTATTAGACTTGATAAAGTGTTCTTCATTGACCAAATATTGCAAAATAATATTGATATGCATTCATGATATTCAAATACATGTATATTTGTTCATCAAATGTTTGTCTAAATCAATATATTTATATTTCATCTCTCTCTCTCTCTTTAACGTAACAAAACATGAGTGGATATTTTCTTAAAGAGTAGTTAATATTTCATTCAAATGTAATCTTATTCTTTGCTAGTTATACTTGATGACACTGATGTAAGAACAATATCGCGTATTTCTTGTTTCTCCACAATTCTTCTGTGGTCAATGTATTGGCTTTGTTCACTTTTTCACTTAGGCCAATTGCCTAATGCTCTCTTTTTGAAAAATTATAGACACATTAGAACATTTGGAAAATTTTCTGTATTTTATCTTAAAGGATATGAATTTCCAATTCGGAAAAACAGGATTTTTTTATTCATAATGCAAACACTGCACGTATAAAACGAAGGTGTTTGACTGAATATAGTGTAGTATTGTTAACATCTACGGACAAAGCTCGGGCTCACAGAGAGGCATGAAGAACTGTAGACAAAGCCAGTGATCAGTTAGCTCGTATCAGATAAAATAAACAAAATTGCAGAGAATGCTTGTATGCATAAAGAGCAAGTTATGCGTTTAAATGATGATTTAAGAGAGATAATTTCCATCAGAGACATAAATGTCTCTGTTTTCATGCTGAAGTAAAATATATCAATATTTTCACAAGTAAAAATTCCCCCCCCCCCCCCCAAAAAAAAATGTTGATAATTATCAAAGCTTTTGAAATTTACATTTATATGTTACTGTGCTTATGCAGAAGTTTTCTTTTCTTTTCTTTCTTTTTTTTCATTGTAAAAAGAGTTAGGGTAATCGTATATCAACTCGTTTGCTGAGGTAGGATTTGGGGGTAACCCATATATTCATTGCCTTTGAACCAAAGTAATTTTATCTGTTTATTCATTTCTTTTTCATGATAAAAGAGTTCTACAAATAATTATTTATACACCCATTGTAAGATTTACTTACTTTTACCAGGGACCTTTATCAGCTGTATATACTATACTTAATATAGGTCCCTGCTTTTACATGGTACTCTTGAAATTTTAATCGGGATCGATGTGCGAAGAAAATAGACACAAAATGTCACAAGACGATGGATGAAGAGGAGCCGGGATTATTAAAATGTTACATTTACAAATTTAGACACAATATAGATCTTGGTGCTATAAGTGAGACATATCCATGCATAAGATTTAGACTTTTGGCGGTGCTGCATACCGACTGCAGGCTTCAGTTCGTACATTTGGACCCAAAAATAAACAGCGAGGTTCCCTCCCTCCAAGGAATCAGAAGGTTTGTTTCAAGTAAAATGTGAACTTATCATTCAACTTGAGCCAGATTGTTTAATTAGTGTACCGCCTTTTGCTGCAGACAAGTTATGACAAAAATATGGTCTTCATGGAAACCTGTTTTTGATGAGTGACAGTTCAAATTATTTTGTTTTTCTCTTCTTTTCCTTTTTTGTTAATCCTCAAATTGTCTTTTAAAAGAATTATTGTATATTTCAGGCCTGTAGGAAGCAATTTCAGTTGGGGGGGGGGGGGGGAGGCACAGTCATACATTTTTCAGTTGACAGTTGAGGGTGCACTACCAAAAATTTAAAAAAAAAAAAAAAGGTCAACTACTGAAAAATTCCTTGACAAGCTAAAAAAAAAAAAAAAAAAGGTCATCAGACGTTTTTATTGAGGGGGCACAAGCATAAAGTATCTATGTTTACTATTAGTAATCTATATATTGGCAAAATTATTGGGGGGGGGGGGGGCACTGCCCCCGGTTCCTACGGCCATGTATTTAATAACTTGGAAAATATATGTATAAGATTGGGGAGGAAAAACTGACAAACTGTAATGTAGAAGTTTGAATAATGGATGTAGACCGTGAGTGAGCGTGTGAGTACCTCTTAATGATGTTTATTTACAATTACTTTGTTTACAATGAGAAAAACATAAATTAGAAAAAAAAGTTACTGCAAAAAGTATATAAGATAAAAGTTATAACGAAAGAAGTAACCTAGTAGGTGTTTTTAACTATTTTTTGCTTAACATGCATTTTGTGCCCCTGCAAGCGCATGAACGTCGCAATATGCTGAGTACCAAATTTCTTGATACAGTCACTGTACACTGACAATAAACAAAAATTGAGTACTAGCTTTCTAATTTATCAACTATGCATCAATAACAACTTCCAGTTCCATTTTCTAGAAGCTAAGTGGTAAGAAGCCTTCAATTTTCTTTTTTAAGATTTGTCTTGCAAATTTGTATTAATTTTTAAATTTATCTTCATGCATTCTTAGATAAAAAGTTTCGGAATGATTCTTCATGCAGTTTCTCTGCAGTGTCAACTCTGATAAAGGCTTCAAATTTACACACTGAGTTTTGCAGTGCAAGTGCACAACATAATTTTCATCAAGTTTGACCTGTTTTAAAGACAGGTATAAGTAGGTAGAAGATTTATAGCTACTTTAAGTAGTTTTCAATACCTACATGTACAGAATTTCAATTAAATTTCTTGCCATTTGGCAAGATTCACTTATTGTTGAAAAGGTGTGACAGTCATATGTTGGGCGTTCAACATTACCGCTACATTGCAAAACATTCCAACTCATTACCGCTACTTTTCATTTAAATTTCTGGTGCTCATTTCTGCTACATCTTATCAGTAAGACGATTGGTGATTACAACTCATTAGGCCAAATAAAAAAATATGTGTGGTTCCGGTTACCCGACCTTCCCTATTTTATACCCCCGACCCTAAACTTTTTTTTGGCAATTTTCATATTTTTTCCGGAATTTTCCCCGAACTCCAACAATGGCTCCAGTTTAAGCTTTAGTTTCAGCAATGATGGCCTCATTGCAAAACATAGTGCAAGTGTTTAATAGTGTTAAATCCAAAGCAAGCTAGCATGTAGGTGTCCCCTACCAATATTGACTAGTATATTATCACACCACATCTAAATGCCATTTGTAAAGCAGTGATAGGTATTACATGTATTTAGAAAAACTTAAGAAAAAAATCATTTTGTTAAAAAAAAAAAAAAAAAAAAAAAAAAAATCCCTACCTACCTACCCTAATTTTTTTGGAAGTGAACCGGAACCACACATATTTTTTTGTTTGGCCTTACCGCTACAAACATAAATCTACCTGCGATATGGCTCAAAATATGCATGAGTTCTATTCAATATAATTCACTAATGTGAAAATGATGAGCTAGCTTTCCAGACGGCGCAGCACGTAAAGCGAATGACCTTCAAAGCTCTACCAATTCTGTGAAAACTATGAACAATGCAAGATTTTAAAACTTTCAAAATAAAAAAATGTTCTAAGAAATAAAATGGCAAAGGATTTTAAATAATAAAGTGAAAAAAAACCCATTTTGCTCAAAGTCCAGATAGTCCTACTTTCACCTTTCTGTGGTGAGCAGAGAAAAGTTCTCATGCATGCACTTTATGTCTGTACATGCTTAAGGCACTGACTAAAGGAAGAGGTACATGTATTGTAGTGGTAATGTATGTAGTGGTAATGTATACTATTTTGTAGCGGTAATGAATATATAGAGGATATTCAATGTTTTGTAGATGAATATGGAATTTATTTCACGAGTGGGACAGGATTTTTTGATATTTTCACGAGTGCGAAGCACGAGTGAAAATATAAAAAAAAATCCTGTCTCACGAGTGAAATAAATTCCATATTCATCTACAAAACATTGAATTTTCTGTTTATTACATTTTCTTTGATTTTCCCTTTGCCCCTGTCCTTTCTTAACACAGTGTCATAAGCTTGACGTCATAGTTGAGCGGTTGAGACGTCATAGCTTAGCAGTTGTGAGATTGAAAACATTACATAGCATGGATTTTAGCAACATATTTGGGAAGAAATTTGCAGTTTTAGCTCTATCAAGATGGTTAGTTAATATCTCTATCTTATGACAGGCCAGACACTATTTTTTTACTTACTTTGATATCCTTTCACACTGTGAGAGAATATCATTTTGGTATCCTTTCACTCTGTGAGAGAATAACACTTTTATTCAATAAATAAATCACAGTATTTCACTGTTGAAAATGTAATAAAAAGTGGTAATGACTATTTTGAAAATGTAGTGGTAATGTAATGCAGCCCATTTATCAATATTTCCTCTAAGAATTTTGAAACCATAGACAGCCTTCACATACATAAGTTATAGATGTACAGATATCAAGTTAAATGGCTGAATAATCTATATGATATATATATAACTACATAATTTTTGTCATTTCAGCTTCATATGGAATAAAACAAATGCATTTGATTCCACTAATCATGATGGGTCACAGCTCTGTTTCACTATCACTATTGAAGAAAACAATCTTCGTCTGGTGTCTTACAAACTAACAAAGGGTTCACTGAGTGCTTCTCCGGAGGAATCATACAGTTTGACAGATGTTTTAATAACTACAGGTAAATGTTTTACACCTGAAATTATCCTTTATTTTATAGAATTAAAGATACATGTATTCTATTTTAGATTACAATACCCGGTATATGTCTAGTGCACACTTTATAAAGGATATATACCCCAATTATAAATATGATTAATTTTTTTCTTTCTTTTTTTTTGAATAACAGGAGAACTTGCAGAAGACAGTACACTGAAACTTCTGGACGTTTCTCATCAGCATGCTGTTCTGCAGTGTGAGGGACTTATTATTGGTTTGTCCTTGACCCGAAGTGAAGTACGGATTATCTACAAAATACCTTACAACTCTCATTACCAGATAACTGCAGGCATCTTAATAATACTGAATGAAGAACAGCTTAATTTTTGTATCCTTTAAAAAACATGATATAATGATGTCTAATATGAAGCAGATTTGTAACCCAGCTCTCTAGGTTTACAGTGTTTTGTAAAATAGAATTATAAATTCATTGACTGGATCAGCAGGGCTTTCAAAAAGATTAGAAAAAGGTGGAACTTTTACTGTGATGGGAGGTACTTTGTGGAAGCGATTTCAATTAAATATGTTATCAAATATTTCTCCATCAAATATTTTGGCTGGTACATGTACAATCATGATTTTAGCCAGGTAAAGTACCCTTGTAGCATTTGAATTTTTCTATATACCAGAAAATGTTTTTTTTCCCTTTTAAATAAATATGATATGTTAATTGGAAACCTGTTCTGGTCAGACTTTAAAATTTGTTTGGTTTCCCTTTGCAGTCTTACGAAAGCCTATTAGGATCAAACTACGGTAAAAAAAAATTTTAAAAGGCGTTATAACGCCTTTTCGAAAGGCGTTATAACGCGAAAAAGGTGTAATAACGCCTTTTGAAAAGGTGTTATAACACGGAAAAAGGCGTAATAACGCCTTTTCATAAGGCGTTATAACGCGAAAAAAGACGTTATTACGCCTTTCCAAAAGGTGTTATAACGTCTTTCCAAAAGGCGTTATATCGCCTTTCCAAAAGGCGTTATAACGCCTTTCCAAAAGGCGTTATAACGCCTTTCCAAAAGGCGTTATTACGCCTTTCCAAAAGGCGTTATTACGCCTTTCTAAAAGGCGTTATTACGCCTTTCCAAAAGGCGTTATTACGTTATGCCTTCTGGAGGGCCATTATTATGTCTTTGACAGGCCCGTGCTTTTAAAGTGGGGGGGAAGGGGGGTTCCCATAAAATTGACATGCAAACAAAAAAACAAGACCCCCCCCCCCCCAAAAAAAAATAAACTGCCTAAACTTGAGGGGAAACTTTTTCTAATTTTTTGATAAAACTTTTTTTAAATGACTTGCCCGAGTTTAACCATACTGCAACAAATTGTTAAGGGACCAAGCAATCAATAAATGATTTTTTATATTTAAACTATAGCAAGACTATTCTCCAAAAAAGTGGGATGGGGGACCCCCCCCCCCCCCCCCCCCACTCACATTCATACTACCGGCCTGTTTGAAAAGGAGTTGTATCCAAAAATGGAAAGGCGTTATTTTAAAATAGTAAATATATGAAAGATTGAACCAAAGCCATCTTTATTTATGCAATATTTAGATTATAGTTTTAATATTATAAATTATATTATAAATTATAGTATTTTCTATATTCCTGCACATCTCGCAGACAGTTGTTTGCATTTTGCATGCATATTAAGAGAAGTCAACACTCTATTTTTGAAAATCCTGGATATAGGCAGAATCAGCTTTGGGCTTTGCTAGCCACGTATAAAAAATTCATGTCAAATTTGAAATATTTTTCTCTCCTCTTGGTAAAAAACAGGCAAAGTATTTGCATAGGTATAATGAGCAATAAGCCTTCAATAAAATTTCTGAAATCCATACACCTTGGTAGAAGCGTCTGGCATCAGAGAAGGACTAAGTTGGTTTAACACTGAAAATATTTTACACATTTAAAAATCTTTTTTCTTAGAAATCTAATTATAATCAGCCCCCAGGGTGGGCTAAGTAAGTCATGTATTGAAAAAAAAAGAGGCGCAATAAAGCCTTTTAGAAAGGCGTAATAACGCCTTTTGGAAAGGCGTAATAACGCCTTTTGGAAAGGCGTAATAACGCCTTTTTAGAAGGTGTAATAACGCTTTTTGGAAAGGCGTAATAACGCCTTTTGGAAAGGCGTAATAACGCTTTTTGGAAAGGCGTAATAACGCCTTTTGGAAAGGCGTAAAAACGCCCTTTAGAAAGGCGTAATAACGCCTTTCAGAAAGGCATAATAACGCCTTTCAGAAAGGCGTAAAATGCCTTTTGGAAAGGCGTTATAACGCCTTTTGGAAAGGCGTAATAACGCCTTTTAGAAAGGCGTAATAACGCCTTTTGGAAAGGCGTAATAATGTCTTTTGGAAAGGCGTAATAATGCCTTTTTTCACGTTATAACGCCTTTTGGAAAGGCGTAATTATGCCTTTATTTGCGTTATTATGCCTTTTTCCGCGTTATAACGCCTTTTAAATTTTTTTTACCGTACTTTGATCCTAATAGGCTTTCGTACAGTCTACCCCAAAATATTGCAAAACTCTGAAGATTGCTGTTTCTCTCAACAATTTTTTTTTCTTCAAATTTTGACTACATAAAAAGATGAACACTTCTGATTACTCATGTTTTGTAACTTTTGAAAAGAAGAAAAGTAATAAGAAGATCCTATCAAATCAATAAAACAAGTACATTTAAAAAAAAACAACAAGCAAATTTTTAATTTTATGCCACATGTGTTGACAGATAAAGCATAATATTTGTGTAATGTCACATTTAGTAAGGCATATAAAGACTCCATTGTCTGATTTTGATAACCAGTTGGCAATTTGTATTGGTTTATATGGAACTTAATACTAAATAGCTTAGAGCTTTGTTCTTGATAAATGTCTAGACATTTAATGAAAGGGACTTCTGGTTTGTGCTGGATACCAGAGAATTACCAATGATCATGAAACAAATTCTTGTAAACAGAAATGACATTTTAGGTAAATTTTATTATGGAATTCTTCTTTCATTCCCCCCTTTATTTTAGATCAAAAGAAAGTAAAATTGTTCTTTTTAATATTTTTAATACATGCAGAGTGCTCAATATAGAAGACTTGAATATGATAATACTTTTTTTGTTCACCCAGAATATTTGTGGAGATATTTGCATTGAAGATGAATTTTTTTTATGAATGTCCATAGAAGACACTATAAGCTCTTGCTTGAAGAAATCTACAACCAAAAGCCAAAAAATAATAATAATAGAGATTTGTATTTTTTTGAAATATATGATTTAATTTTAAATTCTTTATTCATTCAGATATCACATTCTTTTTATCACTTCTGAAGAATCTATTTCCATACCCCCCCCCCCCCCCCCCCAATACAAAATACTAAGGATAAAAGATAATCGTAAATCATGTTAAGAAAAATCAATCATTCTGTTGATTTTCCTCAAGCAATGAATATTAATATGTAGATTAAGGATAGAAACTGTTTACATTATATAATTTTTCTTTTTCAATTAATTATAACTATTTCCTAGTAGTTCTGAGTCGAATAAATTAGTAACTTTGCTGGTTTTTCCAGTTGAATTTTCTGTTGCCCTTAGTATTTTTATATTGCTGCTCGTATGATGTGTAGGTGTTTGAGGGACAGCCTGAACTTAAAATGAGACAAGTTAATAGATTAAGGCAGCTGTTTGGTTTGTTCAAGGTTTTTTATGACAATTTGATGGACCAATCCTTGTTTTCTGAGCAAGTATCTGGAGGATACTAAATTATATAGTATTTGATCATCTCTGATGATTACAGAATAAAATTATGAAATGTCCTGACCATAAATCTTGTCAACAATGGGTTATATGGATTTTTATATGCACAAAGCATTATTCAATATTTGCACAATAGTTATCAAATGAACAAAACTGCAATAAATTTATGAATTATAAAATATTAATCTGGAGTGTGTTTTCAGGTTTTATTTGCAAGACATATTAATGGATGCAAATCTTCATCACATCATATTTTAGTGGATATTAATTGAAAGCTTCTCTTTGAACGGAAGTTTTTGGTATAGACGCATATGATATAAGATTTAATGCATGTCATATAATCTTTAATCAAGGATTAGCATTTTATGACCTGCTCACAGGAGGCCTTGTTCTATGCCTGGATGTCAGTCAAAGTATTCTTCACTCTAAAAAACCTACAATCTGGAAATTTTCAGATGACCTTGGGCGATTGGTCTTTGTGCATACAGATGGGGTTTTGTGGGTTTTAAATATTGAGGAGTTCACTTCAGTGATTGAGAACACAGTAAAAGTAGAACTTGAGAAACCAGAAAAGTTAAAAAGTAAAGGTGACTTTGACACTTATACTGCAAGTAGAATTGGGGATGAGGCATGGAGGGAAAAACTGTCCTCTCTGTTTCACAAGTACTGTCATGGAAAGGGTTCAAACCAGTGGTATACACAGGACCCAAAAAAGACAGCAAATTCAGTCATTACAGCCCCATGTTCCAAGTCCAAATCAAGGAGAGTTTCAGGTTTTCATAAGGTAAAAGATGAACCAGAGGATAGCTATGTAGAAAGCAAGATGGTTTTACCTGCTCTGGACAGCACTTCCTGTCATTTGACTGACTTGATGTTCTACCATTCTGTGGTGTCACTCAGATGGAAGATGAAGGATCATGTATCATTGATGATTTGTAACTATAAAACTGGAACCATCATGCAAGAAAGGTGGGCTGATGTAAATAATTGGTCTGATACTATTAGTATTTAATGTCATTATATAAAATAGTAAAAATTAAATATCCTCGAATGAAACATATTTGATATTAAACACAGAATTTCGATAAAAACAGAATTTTGATACATTATAATCATTATACATGTACCATAATTAAGATTAAAATTCAAATTTCACTGTCAGTCAGAAGTGCTTTAAATTTATTTCATCCAAAGTGGGTACTTTTTTCAGAAGCAGCATTATGCTGTATGTTTTGTAGACTGTCCTATTCAGAGCAGCTAATTCTATCCTTTGAACCAGACAACCCCCACCTGATTCTGACACCGACCCACCTGGCCTGTGTTATTGTGGACAGTCGTTTACAGCAGGAGGGTATTGTCAGCAAGGTAGGAGAAGGCTTTATCATAATTTTCATCATTGGTTATAGACTAGGGATGTCAATTTTTCTTGGAGGGCCTTGTTGAATAATTGGGGCTGTAGTTGAGAAAGTCAGGTACTTGATCATTAAAATAATTTTTCTCATGTCAGTTTAATGTTGTTTTTTTTCAGAATGCAATAAACACTCAATATTTAATTCAAGCTACCTTTACACATGATATATATCTCAACACTAATAGTCAGACATCATTATCTCAAACTCCATGGGACTGAGAAAATACTTTGAGATATCTGAGGATTTGAGATCTCAAGGGTAAAATACTTTAGGATTAAACAGTTGGGACTTCCAAATTACTTGGACATATCCATGGTATTTGAGATATCAGTGTTCAAGATACCGAAGTTCAACTGTATTTACTTAATTGAGATAATTTATCAACTTGAGTTTAGAATTACAAGTTCTATTAAATAGCACTTTTAACGAATAACCAAGTAAAAAAAAATTAGTCAGTGGTCAGTCAGTATGACGGAGCATTAGTTGAGTACCGGTATTCAAAGACTCACACATTGTCAAACTGTCTTGCTAACTGTATGATTACTTCAACAGACCATGATGTATGCAGGTGCCAGTGTAGCAGACTCTCTGTGTCACATTAACCACTGGGGGAGATGCTCTGTCCCCATCAACACTTTAGACATAGGACTTAAACACAGGCAGCTGGACACCGTCTCATTCTTCCTCAAGAGTAAAGAAAACAGTAAGGTCTAATAGGAACTTCATTGAAAGTATGATCTACATAGGTTTTTAATAAGGAGTATTCATGCCTTAAATATAGTGAGTTTATTGGATTTTTTTGTGTGTAAATTTTATTATGATAAACTACTTAAATACTTGTTTAATTATTTTAAGTGTTTTCAAATGATGAAACTGCTCCTTCAAGTGCTGCTTCACCCAGTCCTGCCTGGACCTTAGGTAGTGGTTACCATGACACCTTGATGCAGCTGGAGCCAGCCCTGAGGTTGCTGATACAGACAATGTCAGACAACATGACAGACAGGCAGTCAGTTAGCTTTTCCAGGAAGTTGGCAGACATAACCTTGACCTTTCTGTACAGACTGCTACAAGATGCTGTTACCTTGACAGAATCATCCAAGAACAAGGGAAGTAAAAATGTAAGTCATCAGAGTAATATTTTAGCTCACAAAGCCGAACCTGAAGTGAACTTTTCTCATCAAAAAGTGTCTGGCGTCCATCTGTCTGTCTGTCTTTCATGTTTTGTTTGTAAACTTTTCATATTTTCAATTTCCCCAGAACTACTGGGCCAATTTCAACCAAACTTAAGTATCCTTTGTGTGAAGGGGATTTAAGTTTGTTCACATGAAGAGCCACCCTCTCTTTCAAGGGGAGATAATTATGAATTAGTGAAAATTCAATGGCATCTTTAAAAACCTTCTCAAGAATCACTAGGTCAGAATATATGGAACTTATGCAAAAGCCTCATTTTGTAGTATAGATTCAAGTTTGTTCAAATCATGACCCTTGAGGGAAGGATGGGGCCACAACAAGGGATCAAAGTGATACATAGGAATATATTGGAAAAATCTTTAAACACCCTATCAAGAACAGTAAACCTGTGATAAGTCATATTAATACAGAAGCATTTTCAATTAGTTAGATTCAGGTTTCTTCAGATTATGCCCCCCCCACCACCACCTATTTCATGCAGGTGTAACTTAGTAACTGATAACTGAGTATTATTTATTAACTATAGGAAGAGGTTACAGATTTGGAGCATTGTTTGGACAGCTTATTATCATTCATCTCAGAAATCAGACAGTGTGTCAGACAGGGGGAGACTCTAGACAGCAGTACAAAGAGAGCTGAAAGTCTCACAGACAGGAAAACAACGTCTAGACAGGTGTCTAGGGAACAACAGAACATACAGGTATGAATATAATGAGCCATAATCATGCTCAAGAGTCCAATCAAGAAATACAATTTGACAGCAGAGCAATCATGGACCCCAGAATACTTCAGAGGTAGTAAACATCCCCTTGTCGATCAATCACACCCAATCCTACTGTTAGTTCTTGACTGGGTGAACTATACATTGGTAATCAGTTCAATATGGAAATAATGGCCTCATAAATAGTATAAAAAAAATGTCAGTCAACATTCAACCTATTGATAGGTTATAATTGCAAACAAGGTCATTGTATCAACCTTAAAATTTGTGAAATTCTGAATTTAAACGAAATTGGTGATACCATTGTAACATCAACTTATTTGCCAGTAGCCTGTCTTGGTTAAGAAATTAATCCTATACAGAAAATGCTCTTGTGTATCAAATCAACTGTGAGACATAAACCCCATATGCAGGTGATAAATTTGGAACAACAGAACTTAAATTAATGTATGGACTTGAGTATAAATAAGAAACTACAGAACATTCAGGTATGTGTAGACAGCAGTATAAATAAAGAACAACAGAACATACAGGTATGTCTAGACATTAGTATAATTAGGGAACAACAGAACATACAGATATTCTAGACATTAGTATAAATAGGGAACAACAGAACATACACGTGTGTATAGACATCATTATAAATAGAGAACAACAGAATGTACAGGTGTGTATATATATCAGTATAAATAGGGAACAACAGAACATACAGATATGTCTAGACATCAGTATTTATAAATAGAGAACAACAGAACATACAGGTGTGTATAGACATCATTATAAATAGAGAACAACAGAATGTACAGGTGTGTATAGACATCAGCATAAATAGAGAACAACAGAACATACAGGTATGTCTAGACATTAGTATAAATAGAGAACAGCAGAACATAATGTTATGTATAGACATCTGTATAAATAGAGAACAACAGAACATACCGGTATTTATAGAAACAGTATAAATAGAGAACAACAGAACATAAAGGTATGTAGACATCAGTATAAATAGAGAACAACAGAACATAAAGGTATGTCTAGACATTAGTATAGATAGAGAACAACAGAACATAAAGGTATGTAGACATCAGTATAAATAGAGAACAATAGAACATACAGGTATGTTTAGACATTAGTATAAATTGAGAATGACAGAACATAAAGGTATGTATAGACATTAGTATAGATAGAGAACAACAGAACATAAAGGTATGTAGACATCAGTATAAATAGAGAACAATAGAACATACAGGTATGTTTAGACATTAGTATAAATTGAGAATGACAGAACATAAAGGTATGTATAGACATCAGTATAAATAGAGAACAACAGAACATACAGGTATGTCTAGACATTTGTGTAAATAGAGAACAACAGAACATAAAGGTATGTATAGACATCAGTATAAATAGAGAACAACAGAACATAAAGGTATGCATAAACATTAGTATAAATAGAGAACAACAGAACATACAGGTATGTATATATGCATCAGTATAAATAGGGAACAACAGAACGTACAGGTGTGTATATACATCAGTATGAATAGAGAACAACAGAACATAAAGGTATGTAGACATCAGTATAAATAAAGAACAACAGAACATAAAGGTATGTAGACATCAGTATAAATAGAGAACAACAGAACATACAGATATGTCTAGACATTAGTATAGATAGAGAACAATGGAACATACAGGTATGTCTGGACATTAGTATAGATGGAGAACAACAGAACATACAGGTATGTATATATACATCAGTATAAATAAGGAACAACAGAACGTACAGGTGTGTATATACATCAGTATGAATAGGGAACAACAGAACATACAGGTATATCTAGACATTAGTATTTATAAATAGAGAACAACAGAACATACAGGTATGTGTAGACATTAGTATAGATAGAGAACAACAGAACATGCAGGTATGTCTGGACAGTAGTATAGATAGAGAACAACAGAACATACAGGTATGTTTAGACATCAGTATAAATAGGGAACAACAGAACATACAGGTATATCTAGACATTAGTATTTATAAATAGAGAACAACAGAACATACAGGTATGTGTAGACATTAGTATAGATAGAGAACAACAGAACATGCAGGTATGTCTGGACATTAGTATAGATAGAGAACAACAGAACATACAGGTATGTTTAGACATCAGTATAAATAGGGAACAACAGAACATACAGGTATATCTGGACATTAGTATAGATAGAGAACAACAGAACATACAGGTATGTCTGGACATAAGTATAGATAGAGAACAACAGAACATACAGGTATGTCTGGACATTAGTATAGATAGAGAACAACAGAACATACAGGTATGTATGGACATCAGTATAAATAGAGAAAAATTGAACATACAGGTGTGTATAGACATTAGAATAATTAGGGAACAACAAAACATACAGGTATGTCTAGACATTAGTATAAATAGAGAACAACAGAAAATACAGGTATGTCTAGACATCAGTATGAATTTGGAACATAAGACAACAGTATAAAATAGGAACAACAGAACATTAACAGGTATGTCTAGAAAGGTGTCTTGATATCAACAGTATATTCAGAAAAGTATAAATATCAGTATGAAGCTTACTTAGTGTCTTAGAAAGGAGGACAAGGTCATTATGATACATAGAAAATTCTTGTTTTGTATTGATTAATGAATGAAAAGATATTATGGCTATCATTTGAGTAAATTAGTGTTGTCAAGATAAGGCAATGAACAGGACACATAGGTATCTCCTTAATGTTGTCAGTGTTTAAGGACAAATTAATTTCCACCTCTTCAGTATTTTCAAGTCTTAACTTTTAGCTCACTTGTGCTTTGGCTCAAGTGAGCTTTTCTGATTAAAAGTGTCCAGAGTCCATCTGTCTATCTGTCTGAAGTGTTTTGTCTATAATATCACATTTTCGACTTCTTCTCCAGAACCACTGGGCCAATTTCAGCCAAACTTGCCACGAAGCAGCCTTTAGGGGAAGGGGACTTAAGTGTTCACAGGAAGTGTCATGCCCTTTTTCAAGGGGAGATGATTAAGAATTCAGGAAAATTTGGTGGCATCATATAAAAATCTTAAGAACCACTGGGCCAGAAAAGATGAAACTTATGTGAAAGCTTCTGTACTTCTCTACATACTGTAGATTCAAATTTGTTCATATCATGGTCCCCCCCCCCATTTTCTCCATTGGTAGGGCAAGGCCACAACAGGGGTCACAGTTTTACATAGGAATACATAGGAAATATCTATAAAATCTTCTCAAGAAGAAAGAAGCCATTATTAGTCATATCAAGGACCATCTGTACACTAAAGGAAAAGGTTTTTTGGACATTGAGAAAATTCTAGTCTGTAGAGGTGTAAATATTGAGCTTATCTATTACATTTTTAACATAGGGTACCTAGCATTTACCCCCAGGAAAAATGTTGAAAGACAATGAAGTACTAATGAACAGAAATTGCTTCTGTTTACTTAAGTGGGCAAAATACCTGCAAATGAAGTCTTCAAACTTTTCATCTTGGCCTATTATATGTTATGAATGCTTGATTTGATCAGAAATAAAGTAATGAACTGTGCATTTCAATTTATTTTATTCTAGATCAAAGGGCAGATTACTCTATCTGCATAAAAATACCAAAGAATCAGAACTCATATTTATTTTGAAGCATTTGCAGGTAGTGTAGATGGAAGTTTGTAAAAATCATGATCCCCTCCCTCTTCCCCCTGGGTGGGGGGGGGGGGGCTATAATGTTTAATTGAAGTTTTACATAAGAATATGTAGGAAATAGAATCTGCTGATGAAGAACAAAAGGGCCATAGTTACTTAGGTGAGCATTGTGGCCCTTGAGCCTCTTGTGTTTTAGTGCCTATAAGCAGTCAGGGGCATTTAGTGTTTAGACTGTCCATTTGTCTCTCTGTCTGCAAAAACTTTAACCTTCCTTGCCCATAACTTTTGAATGGTTGTTACATGTACCAGGGTTTTCATATTTCTCATGTATATTTGCCACATGTATATGCCACAGGAAAGTAAGAAGGATGAAGTGATGGAAGCCCTGATGAATAATGCCGTACCAGAATTACAGACAAAACTGTGTTCAGCTGGAATGTCCAGTATGGCATCTATGGACAGGATTTATCAGAAGGGAATGGAGAGGGTCCATTCATACCTTAGTAAGAAGAAAGCCCAACCAGCAGTGATTATACTGGCAAATCTGGTCAGTTCTGTGTTCCTGTATTTTGTGATATCATTATGGGATTGGTATAAGAATTGCAAGAAGAGAAAGTTGTTCTATTTGAAAGGTGAAATATTTCATTTTACACAGGGTATTGATGTTGACCAAAAGTTGTATGAGATAGCATCTTTAACTGTTAATCCTGAGGTCAGAGAGTTTATTATTGAAGAATGTTTGAGTTACTCCCTGTCTCCGCAGCAGGCCAGTGATGTGGCCTTTGTTCACGACCTTGAAAGGGCTACTACACAGGAGCACATGAAATCTGGAACAAAGGAAAAGGATGAAAGGTATTGAAGGGAATATTTTTCATCAGCTTGAAATTTCACAGAATATTATTGATTTATATAATGTGGTGTTTGTGTGTGTTTATAGTTATGAAAAGCACTTTTGTCAAGATAATTTTGTAATTTTTATATCCCTCACAAACAAAGTCTGGGAGTGGAGGGGGGGGGGGGGTAAAAAGAAATCATCTTGTACATCTGTTCATGCAATCTAAGAAGTTGATACTTGGTACAAAGATTATTTTTGACCTGAAGTGTGTCCTGACCTTGACCCAAAGTCATTCCTGCCTGTCAAGGTCATTTGGCAAAAAAAAGTGTAAAATTCATACTTTGTACAAGGATTGCTCATGAGCTGAAGGTATGTCATTACCTTGACCATAGGTTATTTGATCAAATTCAAGCCTCAATTCAAATTCAAATTCATCCCTTAAAGAAAAAATGTTTACTTTCTGTCCTGACCATATCTGTAATGGAGAACATGAGAAGCTCACAGTTATCACTGATATTGCATATGATCTGAGGGTATGTATAACTTTGACCCATGGTCATTCCTGCAAGTTCAAGGTCACTGGCAAAAGTGTTTTATTTATGTCCTGTCAATAACTCTCAAATGGAAGTTATTTGGAAGTTGATACTTGGTACAAAGATTGCTTATGACTTAAGGATGGGTCATGATCTAAGATCACTGGCAGAAAAAATGTTAAATTTGTGTTCATTCCATACTTTCTAGTGTATAAGCATTGAAAGTCATACAAATATTACTTAATATGTTTTAAAGGTATGTCCTGCCTTGAGCCTAGGTCATTAAGGCAAGTTTCAAGCTCACTGACAGATAAAGTGTAAATTTTTTTTTGGAAGTTGAAACTTCAGACAAAGATTATTTGTAAGTTAAAAGTATGTCATAACCTTGACACAAGATCATTGTGTCAAGTTCAAGGTCAATGGCAGAAAAATGTGTATTTCATGTCATGTCCATATTTTTTTATGGAAAAAATATTGGATGTTTGTATTTCACTCAATGATTACTTATGACCAGAGGATGTGTCATTTTTTATAATCCAGGGCATTTTGGCAAGTTCAAGGTCACATTTAAAAAACTGTGAATGGGCACTTTAAAAAAAAAATGTAGCGGGGTTTATTTTGTGAGATTGCTCACTGTACCTCTAGTTGAAATTCACATATTAATCAGTACCCAATATTTTTGTAGTGCACATCAGAAGGAGCTGGAATTAATTTTACAAGAAGGAAAGGAGGCCAGGTTTCCTCTTCCTTCAGAGGACACCTGCCCCAGTGTACTGCTAGACTGGGTACAACACTGGGACTATGACACCAGACAACTCATACATCTAGAAATGGGGGTTAAAGGTCAGTCATTGAGATTAATCTGACCTTAAAGGTCAGTCATTGAGATTAATCTGACCTACCTGTAGTTAAAGTATGTTAAGTGAGCAATGGAATAACTTTTAGTGCTGGCATTTTTTTTTTTAAATTTCTAATTCAAGTATTTTTAAAATATCCTTCTTTATCCTACAATTTAAGACAGATTACAAATTTTCTCAGCTCCTTGGCTGCATGGAGGATCATCAGTATTCAGGTCTTCATGTCTGAGTAAAGATTTCACTGTAATTATTTTGTGATGTTTAAGGTGAGGAAGATATAGACAATGAGCTATACATTCAGTATTTATTGTGGAACAACAGAGCTGACTTACTGATTGAATGGATGAAGGAGAAGGGAACACAACATGGAGATGTCATACACAAAGTACTAGCTAACAGTCACTGCACAGAATTCACAAGGCAGCTTGTCATCAGAGAACTGTTCAGGTAACAGGGTTCATACATGTAATGACCAATTAAGTAAGGCATTGTAAATGAATTATCATTAACTTTTCATTGGTATGGTCGTATCATATGTACTAAGTAACTTCCCATTGATATCTTTAGACTGGACTGTTATGGGGAATATGGAAAAACTAAAGCATTTCTACAGAAGTTGAGGTCAGTAGGAGGTCCTTTGGTCAGAAGTATCCCAGAATTTCATGTCCCATTCATCTGCTTCTGTGTGACAGAAGGTTTACCTGATCTTCTATGGCATTATTGTGAAGATCACAGGTTAGAAAAGTAGGAAATCTGAACTAGTAAAACATCTTTTAGTATTTTTGCCTCATTTCAGGATGAATATTTTTATTTTAGTGTTTCTTTTATAATGAGCTGGTTTGTTTTCCTGACCATGGAACATTCTTTCTGAATTTCTAGAATTTCAGTGGATGTGCTGCAAGATTCTGTAAAAGTCGGAAATTGTAAAGCTGACTGGCTGGACATGTTTGTCATCTTCTACGATCTAGCTCACAGGAAACAAAACAGTAAACATATGATGATTAAATAGACCCTAAAATAGTGAATGTAGTGAATGAAATATGATTTTGTTCTTTATATCTAATTATATTGAAATTAGTACAGCTTTTTCTTCATTGACTGCAGGACTTGAAGCTGAGGATGTGTATAATCTAAGTCTGTCAAATTCATCATGGAGTTTTGGCATGAGGGCTCCCTCTATCATAACACTTTTAAAGCAAGGGCAAACAATCACTGCTTTAGCTACATTAATGTATTCACCTACAATTTTACAACAGGTAATTTCAATCATAATTACAGTCATTCATGAAAATTAAACGAAGTGAAGGTAGAAAATGTGTATGCTATTCTGTAATGCATGAATTGGTGAGTGATCTTTGAGAATTGTCTTTCATAAAACATTCTAAGTTTGTGGTAACTGTCCTGATAGACATATATAATTAGATGTTAAACCCTTAATTGTAGCTTGTATCAGGGAACATGGCAGAGCAAGAACTAAAGGTGATAGAGGAAAAGCTTATGGAATATCCTAAACTTCATGGGATGTTTTTCTCTGTCACAGCACGGGAAATTCCCTCCAATGACATCACCATCTACCAGCTTCTGAAGGTGACTACTGGGAACTTTATTTCAGTTAGACAGTTTACCTGACTACTTGGGTTGACATGTTAAAAGAAGCAGAATTTCAAACTTTTGTGCAATTTGCTTCATTTGAATATTTAGTTATTTTTTTCTTGAAACCAATGCAAGCCATTATCTTTGTTAGAACAATGCAGCATTTGATCCGAGTCGATTATTTGGATGGCAAGCACTTAATACCCTATACAGTGGTGAAGGTATGCTAGTATTTTATTGTTTTCAATTAGAATTTTTTTTCAACACTATAATTTTTATAATTTAAATGGATAACAAAAATGTTTTCTATTACAGAGAATATGAAACAGTTGCCGAGTTTCTCTCAGGTTGATTTAGTGGCCCGATATGGATATTCTGAGAGAATCCGATACACATACTACCTCAAACAAGGCAGACCAGCATTTGCTCTGCTTTCTTTCCTATCGGAGGAAATCGATTCTGTGTCACAGGAGGTCTGTCCCCAGAGGTCTGTTCAGTAATGGTGATACTATCCATATTGCAGGATTCATTCAGTGTAACAATGCAGGAAAGAATTATTGGCTGTTTTTTTATTTCCTTGTTAGATTGACAGAGGCAGGTAATGCTGCAGCTTGGATAGGAGTTCGTCATTATCACAACTCTCAGGTAGCGTGTGCCTGTGTGGCCTTCATTGAGATGATGGGTCAGGACAGCCTGGTCTTACGAACTCTGTTACAGGCCGGACAGGAAGTGCTACTTCATCTGAACGGGAACCTCACCAGTGCTGGGGATCAAAGAAGGGAACAAGCTAAGAAAAACGATGACCTTATAGGTAAAAAATTAACCTTATTTATAAAAAAAAAATAATACCTCATAGGTAAAAAACATGATGACCTCATAGATAAAAAATTATTATCTCATAGTTAAAAAAAATGTTAACCTCATAGAAAAAAAATGACCTCGTAGGTAAAAAATTAAATGATGACTTCATAAGCAAAATATGATGACCTCATTGGTAAAACTTTAGAAAAAAGCCTTGGTATAGACACTGATGATTGATATTGTTAAATGTCAAGTTGACAATATTTCAGCAGGCTATAGGTATAGGGTAACCAGGGCTAAAAGCATATAAAAAAAAAAGACAAGTATCTATTGATGTAGTGTTAAAGGAGGTAAAATGTTAAGAAAAAAGTATAGCTAATCAGAGTTGTCCCTAAGACTCCGGGGCTGGGGAATTTCCACGCCTTTAATGATGTAATCCCAAGTTTATTTCAGTATTCCTCCTAAACTCCCCATCAGGAGAGGAACCCCAGATCCCCTTCTACTTTTTTAAATGTCCTCCTCTATTTCAATTCTTACGGACAACCCTGGCTAGTGGTAAAGGGTAAAAGCAGGCAAGGAGTCACTATACATGTAAAGATTTTAGGGTTACTTTACATTTTTATTTCTAAAAGATTTCTCCAACTAACAAGTCCACTTACAACAATGTACATGTTCCTACAGTATAATTACAAATGCTTTTTCAGTGTCTTGGTTGTGTGCCTGTTTAGTGTACAAAGGTCAGTATGCTGTAACTCTTCTACACCAACTGGAGGCTGCAATCAAGGGATCTTTAAAGAAAGACAAAATTCGAAGGTTTGAAATAAAATGAGCTACCGGTAGATTTAAGATGTAGTGCATTATCAATTGGTAGATTTTTATGATATTCAGTGAAGCATATGCATGTGCCTTACTTGGCACATTTGGTTGGCTTAGACAGTATCTTAAATACAAGATGCCTTAATATACATGTATGTATGTATAGATTGTATGAAATTCTGGATTGTACAATACATAAATTATGTTATAGTTAAGTTCATGAGATGGTAAACTTAAGTTAATTCATAAAATGTACATTTAATTGGATGTTGACAAACTGGTACTGTAGATCACCAAATTTTTACAACACATTTTTTGTGAGAAAGACATATGGTAATTATTAGTTAGACAGAATTTTCACAAATTCCCGATATTGTTGAATATAATCCTTAATAATAAAATATACTGGAGACTGAAATTTTTCATGAGCAGACTGTCTCCCATAATTAAGCAAAAATAAAGTTCTCACAATTAAAAATGATTTACAGTAAAAACATCCCTGTTGGAAGTTATAAGGGGAGTTTTGATGAAAATTATCTGTGATGTACAGGAGATGGGAATTCCTGATTGTCTTAGGTATCAAACTAATTATTCTAATGAAGGAAGAGGACAATCAGAGTGACAGGGGGCTCTAACAGGGGAATTAACAGGGGACACAGGGGAGCCTGTTGGGGAACATGGGGCTTGCTGATTTGAGGGCTGGGTGTGGCACCTCTCCATATCCTCCAAGTTGGGACACAGTTGCTGTCTGGGACTTCTTAGTTAAATGTACATGTAGTTCATTTATTTACTCTACTTGAACTCTTGTTGTATTCTACTTTTTATTGCTAGTACAAGTTTTGAGGCTGGACAGAAGTGGACAATAGCAGTGGTCTTTTGTCAGCTGATGTCCATTTCCTGGACTACAGTATTTCTGGAGACCTGTGCTAAAGCTGATAAATGGCTGTCATTTCTGTGGTTTGCCCAGCTTCACCAGTATTCCAAACAACAGGTTACAATCAAGAAAGGCTGAAGAAATCTTATTAAAAAGATATTGATAGATTATTATTAAAGTTAACAGCTAAAACTTGTAATCTTTAAAACTAACACATATTTTTACACAAGTAGACAAGTACATACATGTAGGTTAAGTAATATTATAACTCTACAGTTGCAGCCCTTGTTGTATAAGTTCAGATGTCCTCACCTAAAGCAACATCTACACTATGTGATAGAGAATGCCGAGTCCAAGATGTCAACAGGAAGTACTCCTCCAGTAAGTCAGGGGAAGCAATCCCCCAGTAAGGATGTCCGATCTTCACTGTACGCCAGGATAGGACTGACCAAAGACAAGGACAACAGTAAGAGAAACTCATTAAAATGTAAACCCAACTCTGATTACCAGTGGTTATTTGAATTAGCAAGATACCGAGTTTGAGGCAAATTATTATTTTTTTTTTTTATAAAATGGATGCAATTGTTAATAATTAATTTTACAGATGAAAGTAGCAGCAGCTGTGAAGAAGAAACTAAGAGCAGAGTAACCAACTCTGATGAATGGCTTCAGCATTGTAAGTAAACAACTCTTTCTTTAGCCATTCTTATATTTATCTTCATTGCATTTGACTTCATCTGAGCCAGAGACCTATATGGACTTTTCTGTTTGAAGTGTGTGTGTTGTTTGTCTCTTGTGTGTTGTTGCTGTTGTTGTTGTTTTGTTTTTGTTTTTGTTTTGTTTTTTATGGTAAAATTTTCACATCATTGGCTTTTTTCCCAAAGCATGGGGCCAATAACAACAAAACTTGACTCAAGCCATTAAGGGTGAAGGGGATTCAAGTTTGTGTAAATGCTATTTAAGATGCCAACAGACATAATCTAGCGTTTGTCATTAAATCATAGATTGATTTTCCTAATCATCTCAAAAAGGGTAGAAACCCAATGTAGTGAAATTGTTGAAATTGTTGGATTCCAGGCCATGATAAGGTTTTTTATTTGTAGATAAACACATGAGATTGAGAGAAATACTCAGGCCTATGGGCCTCTTGTTAATAATACATGTATGTGAGCTGACTTTGCTTTATGCATGTTTAAGTTTCACAAGATTGTTAGAACTGGGGAATTGGGAATATATCACAGAGAAACTTCAGTTCTTGCACTTTGTGAGCTACAGGTAAATCTTCAAAACTCACACAAAAACTTGGCACCTTTAGGAGTGTTTGAATGACAAAATTGTGTGGAAAGTTAGCCTGGAAGATAAGTTGTGTATTCAGTTTTTGTTAGCTCACCTGAGCTGAAAGCTCAAGTGAGCTTCTCTGATCACCCATTGTATGTCATCCGTCCATCTGTCCATCCGTCTGTCTGTCTGTCCATCCGTCTGTAAACTTTTCACATTTTCAACTTCTTCTCAAGAACCACTGGGCCAATTTTAACCAAACTTGGTACAAAGCATTTTTGGGTGAAGGGGATTTTAAATTGATAAAATGAAGGGCCAAGTCCCCTTCAAAGGGGAGATAATCAAGAAAAGACAAAAATAGGGTGGGGTCATTAAAAAATCTTCTTCTCAAGAACCACTGGGCCAGAAAAGCTGAAACTTATGTGGAAGCATCCTGGGGTAGTGTAGATTTTAAATTTTTCAAATCATGACCCCTGGGGGTAGGGCGGGGCCACAATAGGGAATCCAAGTTTTACATTGAAATATGTAGTAAAAATCTTTAAAAGTCTTCTTCCCAAGAACCACTGGGCCAGAAAGGCTGAAGCTTACGTGGAAGCATCCTGGGGTAGTTTAGATTCTAAATTGTTCAAATCATGACCCCTGGGGGTAGGGCGGGGCCACAATAGGGAATCCAAGTTTTGCATTGAAATATGTAGTAAAAATCTTTAAAAATCTTCTTCTCAAGAACCACTGGGCCAGAAAGGCTGAAACTTACGTGGAAGCATCCTGGGGTTGTGTAGATTCTAAATTGTTCAAATCATGACCCCCGGGGGTAGGGTGGGGCCACAATAAGTACTACAAGGGGGGGGGGGGATCAGGTGAAAAACAGCAAGGCCAAAGTTACTCAGGTGAGCGTTGTGGCCCATGGGCCTCTTGTTTGAATATTCCTTATTTAATGATATTGTAATATTGTGTGATTTATAGAGAATATTATACTTTCAGTAATGGAGGTGAACCCAGACTCTTTACCTGATGACCTGTTCCAGGTGGTGTTTATTGCCCAGGCCACCCCCTCCCCCTGGAAGGCTCTGTTGGTTTATTCCATTCTACTGCACAATCCAGTCCTGGCTGTCCTAGCTGCCTGTGATCAGGTCTGTGTAAATTATTTTCTTACAGATGTTACAGTGATGGATTTATCGCTGAATGATCATGAGAAACCAGAGCAAAAATTATTTCAGTATTCAAAAGCACAATACTCCTCACAAATAAAGCAATACAATTATAAATGAAGAAAGGAACATTGTGTACCGGTATGTGTAGTGTAATATATTGTCATTATAAAAATATTTTACAATTATTTTTATATACAACAGCAAAGTTTGATTAAGTGTTAGTATTTCTACTAAGGACTCGGCTGAGTTTTCCTGCCTCTGTGGTTGGTCTGTTGCGATGATGGATGTGGAATCACATGACCAATATATAACCAATCACGGGAGGGCTGTGTGGTCTTGGGGAGTGAAGCACTTTGACAAAATTTTAAGTATATACCTGGATAAAAACTGGATGTCCACTCTAGCAACAGGACTCAGTATTTTTCTGCCTGTGAGTTTAATTGTGCTTTGTTTTAATAGCCTTTAAATTTGAATAGATCATGAAGTAAATTTTTAAAAATTAATAAATTTTGTTGGTAGGAATCCCCATTGCTCCCATTCTGCCAGTTTTCAGCTGCTCTGAATGAGAGAAGAGATTACAAGCAGTGTAAAGTCTGTTTGGAACAGTTCAAAGAAGCAATGCAGAGGGTCTGTTGATTTTAACATTCAATGTATAACAGAACAGCTGATCTCTCAAGTTTTATTAGTGTTTCAGTTCAAAGATTTTAATGAGGTAGTTATTACAGTACTAATAGCAATTTTACCTGACAATTTTTGAATAAAATACATGTATTTTAAGATTAAGTTAGGAAATTTCCTATTAGTAATTTTGATCATATTGATTTGTTTTGGTTATAGATAGGTGGCGCTGATTCCCCGACTGATCACCCTGTATACAAAGCCACTGATTGGCTGCAGCAGGAGACTTACCACATCATCCAGCACCACCTCCACCACACCACCAACCTTCACATGCTACTTAACCTCCTCAAACTCTTAGACAGTCAGAGCATTGTACTAGTCTTCAAGTTTGATGGTATCTATTTTTTGTCCCCAGCTTTCTTGAAAGCAAGGGAGCATTAAATCTCTTTTGTTTGCCTGTCACAAAAATTTAACCTTGCAGTCATAATTTTTGAATGAGAAAAGAAGGGGCTTTCATCTTTTACATGTACATTACCTGTGACAAGACCTTATGAAATATACTATGATTTTTTGGCCCGTGACCTTGAAGTTTGACCTTCTTTTCAAAAATGTTAACATTGGTGATAACTTTTGAATAAGAGAAGAAAGGGCATTCGTATTTGACATGTGCATTACAGTCCCTGAAATGTTCTACTTTCCCATTTTTCCGTTCACTCACTGTTTGTTCACCGTTCGTTCAGCGTGTGTTCACTGTTCGTTCACCGTTCGCTCTCCGTTCACAGTTTTGCGTTCTGCGTTCATCGTGCCCTCGCGTTGACCGTTCACAAAGCGTTCACCGTTCGCCCTCTGTTCGTTCATTTTGCGTTCACCTTGCCTTCAGCGTTCACTTATCGTTCTGTATTCACTGTCATTTGGAACTCCAAAGTGAAAGGACTTATCTTTTTTGTAAGTAAGGATTTACAAATTTGAAATTTAATAATTAACATGTCGTGTTTAAAGGATCATTATTTCATCGGAAAAAAATTATCTACAATATGTTTTATTATTATTCTAACTTAGCTGTTAGGTTATTTATTAAATTACTCAGGAAAATAAATGCTGTTACATGTATAAGTATACCTATGTACATGTAGATCGATGCTGAAAAATTAAATTTAAATACCGGCAATATACGGATACTTCAAGCACTGCAACTTTTTGTTATTATTTTAAAGATGACAAATTGTTAATGGAGAGATAATAATCCATGTAAATTAATTTACCAACTGCAGCAAAATTACGAGAATATTTATTTCGAACACTTTTTTTCAATCATATTAGAACTAGTTCTGAGAACTATAAATAGTACTGCTAATATCCAGTTAATTAAATATCTTTGGAGCCAATTAAATTGATAGTATGGTCAAAAAAATATTTATTTAGATGTAATACACTACAATTTTTTTCAACTTTACATATATAAAGTCTATTGTTAGAGAGAAAAAAATTCCTTCCTTCACAGTGAATTTATATGTTTGCCATTCGATATGATTAAGACACCCCCCCCCCCCCCCCCCCCATTTTCCACCTAAATCAGTTACTTAGTCGGTATTTCCAGTATATTTTGATTAATATTTAAAAAGAAGTTAACGCATTTTGTAGCACAAAAAGTTTAGTCTCAAAACAAACATGCATCTAAAAAAGTCATTAAATAATAGTAGTTCAGAATATACATGTGCCAATGGTTGTATTCTAAATTGGCCAGGGAGTATGTTTTAAATTCATTCCAAGTGTTTTTACCCAATGCATTTTATTTATTTATTTATTTATTTATTTTTTGGAAAAGTTGGAAATGATAAAAAATGTTAAAACTTCTTGGAAAAACTTCAGTGTAGCACTTCGCCTTTGGTGTGACAAGACTTTCACACCTGCACAGTGTCGAATGATTTTGATTGACCAGACAAGCATGTGGACTTCATGTGAACTTGAAGCAGGAAAATAAAAACTGATGATGACTGTCAAACAAAATGAATTTGTTGAATGAAAAAAAGGTTACTTTCACTGCCTGATATACTTAGATAAGAATTAAGTTTTTTGTTTATACAGGTTCATGCATTTGTGGAAAGGGGGGGGGGGCTAAAACGGAATCTCTCTCTCTCTCTCTCTTGTCCGTTTAATCAAAACTATGACAGCATATTACTTTAAGTAATTTTTACTACTTTAAGTACTTTTACTATCAAGTTCTGAAATTTTAATCTATAACAAATAATATGAATGCTTCTTTGTATCATCTTGTCCGAGAATAATCATGGGGAATTGTCTACAGATACATGTAGAAGTCTGCTTAATAAATCATAATAAAAAAAAATGAAAAGTCACATAAATATATTATTATATTTTTTAAATATGAGTGTATTTATGCAAAACATCCACAGACCTTTGCAAAATTTAAAAAAAAAAATTTTCTCATTATTTTACAAGGAATTGCCCTGACATGGAAATACATGCATGGTTGTTACAACCGTTTTAATTCGAATTTGAAAATCATTATTTGTAATGGTTTTATATATAAAATAAGAATAAACATATTTATTTTACAACTAGAGTAATTTTATATTTTAACCTACAGTATTCTGTAACAACTGCAATGTTTTACAGCGATAAAAATTGTGTGATTAAACAGCTGAATTTAAAATCATACATATGTGCAGAAAATATCGTAAGAAACTTAATTAATAGTTTTACTTAATGTGCATGTTTCATCTTTTTTTAGAACAATTTTAGAATATCTATTTATTGTTTATTTAGTTATTTTTGCACCTGACATTAGAATACAATAGAATAGATACAATGCATGAAAAAGATCAGAGGCATTCCGAATAAATCGTTCATCTTGCGTTCACCGTTCACTAAACATGTTCGTGCTCCGTTCGCATTCTGCAATCACTCACCGTTCACCTATCATTCACCAAGTTGCTTTTTAGCGTTCACACATCGTTCACTCACCATTTGGTCTGCGTTTGTTTACCGTTCGCTCTGCGTTCGTTCAGCATTCGCTCCCCGTTCAAGTGGGAAAGTAGAACGTTTCAGGGACTGTACCTAGCTGTGACAAGACCTTTCCAACTGTATTATGATTTTTAACCCTGTGACCTTGACCTTGAAATTTGACCTACTTTTTAAAAATATTAACATTGGTGATAACTTTTGAATGAGAGAAGATAGGGCCTTATGTTTGACATGTGCGTTACCTGTTACAAGACTTTTCCAAATATACTATAGTTTATGATCCTGTGACCTTAACCTACAGTACTTTTCAAAATTTTCAACATTTTCATTACTTTTGAATGGGAGAAGATATGGCTTTCATATTTTACATGTACATTACCTTTGACAATACCTTTCAGGAAAAAACTATCGGTTTTGACTTCCTGACCTTGACTAAAAGTTTGACCTACTTATCCAGAATTTTATGGCCATAACGTTTACTTCAGAAGATCGAGACAAGGCTTTTATATTTTATTTCACATGTGCATTACTTGTGACAAGATCTTTTGGATTATTTTATGATATTTGACCTCATAACCTTGAACTTGAAGTTTGGATGATGTTTTTGTCAACTTCAGTCTTTGCTGCAATTTTTATTATTTTGGTCAGACAATACAGAACACACAGACAAGACAGTTACAATATGCCATAAATAATTGTTCCCAACTACTAAGTTACTGAAAGTTGGGTACCACAATTCTTTGAATTCGCTTGTTTAATCAAAGTATTAAAAAATTGTAATCAGTAAGCTGGAGTGATGATCCAGATCTAAACATTATCTGTTGTATGAAAAATGGATAAAAACTGAATAAAATAGTATTGATAAGTCTTAGAGTAATAATTCTGTGGAAAGTATTGAAACATATTTGTAAGGATACTTGTCTAATTTGATGAAGTAAAAAAAATGATGCCCTTCTACTTGAAGGATTTATGACCTGTCTGTTTTTAGGATAGTTGTTAGATATTGTGAAATATTTTTTGCAGTTATTGATTTTGGTCAGTTGGCACGTCTGTTGAACACCATTGTAAGTGCACATGTACTGGATGTTAATTTCAAAAATCTTGTGTCCAGCAAAGCAGAAACCTTCCAGAAGGAGTGCAGAAAGGTCATGGATCACCTGATAGAGAAGCACATGTTTAAGGAAGCCAGACAGATAGCCAGAGAGAGTGGAATAAACATGGATGACGTTACAATAGAGGAGGTAAATGTAGTACCATACATCAAATTTTAATGCTCCTCAAAGATGGAAAAACTGTTTTTGGTTTGTTTGTAGTTGTTTTTTTTTTGTCTACCTTTTCATGGCTTAAACATTAGTTATATTATTAATTACTTTTGATCTGACAAGATACATATAGATACCACATAGCTGTACTAAAGAAATTTAATTTCAGTGCTTTACATAAGAATTCACCCATATTTCAATATTTGTTGATATAGTAATTTTATAATGAAATCCACTAAAATTGAATCCGCTAAGGTATAATGATTCCCATGTATATGTATGTCTTGTAGAACAAGTGGGAGAAGAAGAAGTTATCAGGTACCTCTCTTTGGGAGGATCAGCTAACGAGGAGGAGGTTTTGGATTGTGTGTGAGGAGCGATGTAAACAACAAAGAGTAGCCTCCCTTACTGTGTCCCAGTACTTCCAGGTATACACTGATGATCCCCAATGATTAATATCAGAACCATGAATTACCTGTATGGTTTTATAAGGTCACTGCATTTGTCATGCCCATTAGATAATTCATCCTTCACAACTTCAAAATGTATTTATCATAGTTACATATGTCCATCCTTCAAAATGTAATTATCATGCTGAACAATACTTAAGCAATCAAATGTAATGAATGAATTCCAAAAAAATTAAGAAAGTTGTGAACAATTATTTGAAAATTTCATAAAGATTTTATAAATATTTCAGTTTTTGTAATAAGCAGTACATTGTATACTACTCTCAACAGAGTGAAGCTGATCAGACTCAGGACTTGAGTGAGAAGGCTTTCCTGTACCAGCTTGGACACCATTGGATTGAAAATATGGAGACCAGTGAACATCAGGAACTCGGGGACCTGTTGTACAATAAGATGTGGAGAGCACGAATTGAGAATGCTGTCAACATCCTACAGGCATGTAAAGATTCCCCCAAATATAAATACTGTCAACTTCCTACGGGCATGTATAGATTCCCCCCAAATATAAATACTGTCAACATCCTACAGGCTTGTATAGTCTCCCCCCAAATATAAACACTGTCAACATCCTACAGGCATATATAGATTCCCCCCAAATATAAATACTGTCAACATCCTACAGGCTTGTATAGTCTCCCCCCAAATATAAACACTGTCAACATCCTACAGGCATATATAGATTCCCTCCAAATATAAACACTGTCTACATCCTACAGGTATGTATAGACCCCCCCCCCCCCAAATATAAACACTGTCTACATCCTATGGGCACATATAGATTCCCTCCAAATATAAACACTGTCCACATCCTACAGGCATGTATAGATTCCCCCCAAATATAAACAGTCTACATCCTACAGGCATGCATAGATTCCCCCCAAATATAAACACTGTCAACATCCTACAGGCAAGTATAGATTCCCCCAAATATAAACACTGTCAACATCCTACAGGTATGTATAGATTCCCCCCAAATATAAACACTGTCAACATCCTACAGGCAAGTATAGATTCCCCCCAAATGTAAACACTGTCTACATCCTACAGGCAAGTATAGATTCCCCCAAATATAAACACTGTCAACATCCTATAAACATGTACATGTACTCCACAAATATAAACTCTGTTAACATCCTACAACTGTGTACATATACTCCACAAATATAAACACTGTCAACATCCTACAACTGTGTACATATACTCCACAAATATAAACACTGTCAACATCCTACAACTGTGTACATATACTCCACAAATATAAACACTGTCAACATCCTAAAGACATGTACATGCACTCCACAAATACAGACACTGTCAACATTATATAGATGTTTTTATATACTCCACAAATATAAACACTGTCAACGTCCTACAGACATTTTCATATATTCCACAAACGTGTGTATTCCACAAATATAAACACTGTCAACATCATATAAACATGTACATGTACTCCACAAATATATAAACACTATCAACGTCATACGGAATGTACAAAGTCATGTACTCCTCAAAGACAAACACTATCAATATCATATAGACATACAAATATAACAACTATTGTAATCTGCATGGTGCAGTGATTAGAGCATTTGTTCTAGAGTAAGGAGTTGATCCTTCCGTAGCGAGTTTGAATCCCACTGTGGGATGTGGAGACTGATCCTTTGGAATAGACCGTATAAACAAAGGTCCCATGTTGCAGTAGGTGTTGGCAAATATTTTTTGGGTTCGGTCTGTCTGTATGTATGTCTGAGTGTATATCCATTGTGACACGATAACTCAAAGAGTTTTCTGACATCATAACCATTTCAAATTTTATACAGAAGGAGTGGATCTTAAATAAAAGAAACCTATTTACATGTATATTGTGGTCCTTCCATCTGTAAACCTATTTACATGTATACAGTGTATTGTGGTCCTTCCATCTGTCTCTCCATCAACACTCACTGATCAAGGGTCATAAGTGCCAAGTACAGGTCTAAATTTGCAGCCCTCCACCTGCAAGTGGTGGTGTCTCAATACGAGTGAAAAATCTTGAAGGGATGTTAAATAAACAAAAAAACACTATCAACATCATACAGGCATATACATGTACTCCACAAATGTAAACACTGTCAACATTATACAGGCATATACATGTACTCCACAAATGTAAACACTGTCAACATCATACAGGCATATACATGTACTCCACAAATGTAAACACTGTCAACATTATACAGGCATATACATGTACTCCACAAATGTAAACACTGTCAACATCATACAGGCATATACATGTACTCCACAAATGTAAACATTGTCAACATTATACAGGCATATACATGTACTCCACAAATGTAAACACTGTCAACATTATACAGGCATATACATGTACTCCACAAATGTAAACATTGTCAACATTATACAGGCATATACATGTACTCCACAAATGTTAAAACTGTCAACATCATACAGGCATTTACATGTACTCCACAAATGTAAACATTGTCAACATCATACAGGCATATACATGTACTCCACAAATGTTAAAACTGTCAACATCATACAGGTATATACATGTACTCCACAAATGTAAACACTGTCAACATTATACAGGCATATACATGTACTCCACGAATGTTAAAACTGTCAACATCATACAGGCATATACATGTACTCCACAAATGTAAACACTGTCAACATTATACAGGCATCCCTCCACCTGCAAGTGGTGGTGTCTCAATACGAGTGAAAAATCTTGAAGGGATGTTAAATAAACAAAAAAACACTATCAACATCATACAGGCATATACATGTACTCCACAAATGTAAACACTGTCAACATTATACAGGCATATACATGTACTCCACAAATGTAAACACTGTCAACATCATACAGGCATATACATGTACTCCACAAATGTAAACACTGTCAACATCATACAGGCATATACATGTACTCCACAAATGTAAACACTGTCAACATTATACAGGCATATACATGTACTCCACAAATGTAAACATTGTCAACATTATACAGGCATATACATGTACTCCACAAATGTAAACACTGTCAACATTATGCAGGCATATACATGTACTCCACAAATGTTAAAACTGTCAACATCATACAGGCATATACATGTACTCCACAAATGTAAACACTGTCAACATTATACAGGCATGTTCATTCATTCTAAATACATGTATATGAATTCTGTCTACATTATATAGGCATTTTTGTCACAAAGATAAACACTGTCAATATCATACTGATACCTACGTAAACTCCTCAAGGATAAACACTGCTAACATGCTACAGGCATGTATGATAAACACCATTTAAAATTCATCAGAGTTTTGAGTAAAAGTACATGTATGCTTGTTATTATGTTCTTGAACTTATGTTTTACATACATGTATATGATTATAAGAAATATTTTGATACGGAGATGATATGCATTTTATGGTATATGAATATGTTTAAAAATGCATTTTAAACAGACTCATCAGCTGTCGGGCTCCATGGAGATGTCAGATGACTTATTTTCTCTTCTTGAACTTGGCACAGTGGTGGGCAGCCCATTGCCCACTGAACTTCTGTCACTGGGCAAGACCCCTAGCATGGAGTGCTCTCCCAACAACCTCTCAGAACAGGTGGATGCTCATGTCATTCTAGTATTATTTCTAGGGATGTCAATTTTACTCTGACAGCTTAGTTGAATAGTCAGATGCTTTAGTCAAATGAAAGTCAAGTACTCATTAAAATATTTTTGTGTGTGTGTGTGTCAATGTCAAGGTTTTGTCATTTTCCGACCAGTACAATATTTATTCCATTCTACCATCACATATTTAGTATTTTCGAATCATCATTTAAGTAAAAATAAATATTTGAATTTAATTATATTTTATTTCAATTTCATTGTTTTACTGCATATTTTATCTAGATGAGGTTTTCAAATACTTTCACTTGTGCTCTAATTACATGTGATTGATCTATCATCTGAGGCTTTTATACAAGTTTAGTTCCAGTTAAGTCATTAACCCACAACTGGTAAAAAGTTAAAAGTTCTTTCTATCAATACAAATCAAGCTTGCTATAATCGTTAATTATGAAATGTGGTTATAAACAACTAATACATTCATGAAATGAATTGATAGGAAACATGAAAAAACCTTGTAAATTACACACATAACTAGTTTTCTAAATTAGTACATGTACATGTATGCATATGATTATGTGAAATTACTCTATTGAAAGTCTGAATTTTTAAATTTTAAGCTAGAATCTAAATAATTCTTCAAAGTCCTCTTCATTTCAGCATTTAGAGGTAGAAAATTTATTACAATCGTTAGCATCAGTTATTTTTTGGAGGGGGTCTAATATATACCTTGGTGTTTTTGCAGGGAAATTACAAGAAAAGTTTCATTTGAAGATTTTGTTGAATTTGTAGGATATTGGCCTTAAATTCTTTAAGATAATAATAATCGTAATAAATTTGATTTTAATAAAGATACAAAACACCAGTACAGTTTCATGTATATTTCTTTTTTCAGTCTTTCCATCATAAAACCTGTTAAAATAAGCCCAGACTGTAGATAAATATTTCCTTACCGAGAACAATGAAATAAGATTCCCCCTAAAGGACTTATCGCATGATTTTTCAAAAATCGTAATTTTATGATAAATATTATCTACAACCTTGTTTATTAAAATACTGAATCCAATAAACGTTGTTGAAAGCATATATTAAGAGATATTGGGAGTTGAAATTCAAATATGGCGATATGCATATTTCAGTCGGATTTCGGCGAAATACTGCTCTGACGTCATAGGCGACAATTCAGTGATAGAGAGATGAAAATATACACACTATTTACGGAGTTATCAACGACAATTGCAGCTTAATTACAAAAAATGGTGAAAAAATTAATTCCTAACGTGCTTTTCAATTACTATAGAAACATTAACTAGTTCTAAGGTATAAGGCTTATTAGGTATTTTCGTTTTTTTATTCCAAACATTTAGAATCTGTAGCTCTGATTATGGCAATATTTCATGATCGGGAAATTATTTTTCAAGATCGCCATCCTTTAAAAAACATATGAAGACTTGCATAAATTAATATTATGTTAAAAACAAAGAACAACAAAGTTATATTATGTTAAAATTGTGAATCAAATATGTAAATACATGTGATGAGATGACAAATCGAATCATATTCTGATAGCGAGTTTCTTCGTCTTCGCCGTGTATCCCTCGCTATCGTCGCTGCTATTTTTACAATGTTAACAGATTTTTTCTTGCTGACAATTCTAACATATAAGGTTGGATATTCAATTTCATATCAATAAAATAAGCGATTTGGTCGTCCACAAGGCAGAAAATTCAGGTTGTATCACATATATTTTCGTAAGATTAACGTAAAGAGATGATCAACCATTGTCGCCTTTGACGTCACAGGGTCACATGATCGCTATCTAATTAACTTAGATTTTTAAATCAGGGGTTTTCATTTGAGTCAATAATTGATTAATTACCGTGGTTTATCCGCAATAAAACACAAAATTAATAAACTGTGGTCATAATGAACGTTTTATGCTTTTAATTTCAAATAATTTAGAAACATGCGATAAGTCCTTTAAATGCAAGTTTATTACAAAACATACAAAACACTGATGCACTTAGAAATTAATAAGGTGAATAAAATTTTATAACCTTGAATTTAAGCTTACTATAAAGTAGCAGATTTTTAATGATTAACCGAGTAAGAAAATGCATGTATTTAGTCGATAGTCGGTATACCCAAACGATATTCATTGACATAATTTGCTGTGATGTGATTCACACTAAACAATATCACTGTAAAAAAAAAAAAAACAAATATTGTCATCTCCAAATATGTATATGATGTATATGGTTATATCCAGTTTATGGGAGCACATAAAATTTAAGCTTGATAACCTCACGGAAATAAATTATTTTTTTTTATTCACAAATATAGGTTATTTGTTTGTTCCTAGGGATTTAGCTGTATGCTAATTTATTTAGTTTGTTCTAGTACATGTATATTAAAACAGTGTGCTCATTTTGAAAGTTTTTTGGTGTATTTGATAATAGGAAGTGGATGCTCTACAAGTGATAATCAATGAATTAATAGACAGGGGACACAACTCTCACAGCTGCAGGTTAGCTGCTGAATTTGGGGTGTACAACAAGGACCTAGCTATTGTGGTGGTATGTATTGATACACAACAGGGACCTAGCTATTGTGGTGGTATGTATTGATACACAACAAGGTCATAGCTATTGTGGTAGTATGTATTGATACACAACAGGGATTTAGGTATTGTGGCGGTATGTATTGATACACAACAAGAACCTAGCTATTGTGTTGGTATGTATTGATACACAACAGGAACCTTGTTTTTATTTTACTGGTATTTGTTGACCTTCTACCTAGCTATTGTGGTGGTAATGTATTGATACACAACAGGGACCTAGTTATTGTGGTGGTATGTATTGATAAACAACAAATTCGTAGCTATTGTGGTGGTATGTATTGATACACAACAGGGACCTAGCTATTGTGGTAGTATGTATTGATACACAACAAGGACCTAGTTATTGTGGTCGTATGTTTTGATATATAACAAGGACCTAACTATTGTTATACCCCCGCTCCAAAGGAGAGGGGGGTATACTGTTTTACCCATGTATATCTGTCCATCTGTCTGTCTATCCATCTATCTGTGTGTCTGTCCATAACAAATTTTGGTCGCAGTTTTCTCAGCAACTACTCATCACAATTGCTTGAAATTTTAGCACACTCCTTGTTTAGGCATGCCATATGGTGGGTTTATTTTTGTACGAATCATATGTCAACTTCCTGTTTATCTGTGTGTCTGTCCATACCATACATAACAAATTTTGGTCGCAGTTTTTCGAAAAATTCTCATTACAATTGCTTGAAATTTTAGCACACTCTTTGTTTACACATGCCATATGGTGGGTTTCATTACAAACCCAATGTCAACCTACTAATTATCAGTGTGTCTGTCCATAACTGAACTTGCATGAGTATTCACATTAGAGTGGGGGTATTATTAGTGAGCATTGGCTCACAGACTTCTTCTTGTGGTATGTATTGACCTTCTTCCTAGCTATTGTGGTGGTACTGTATGTGTACATAAATTGGCTTATTTAAAAGTTAGGGCAATCACTGGGTATGGGTGTGGAGTTGTTGGTGAAATCATGAATTAGCACCATATATGTCTGTTCCATATATTGTATTTATAAATGATTTCTTAGCGGTATTCATGAATTAGCAGATCGTTGTCTGCAACAAAGCTGCTAAAATATGAAGCATGCTTTTTAAAGTACACATACAGTATGTAATGACCCTTCTATTATGAATTGTGGTATGTAATGGCCTTCTACCTAGCTATTGTGGTGGTATGTATTGACCTTCTACCTAGCTATTGTGGTGGTGCATATTGGCCTTCTACCTAGCTACTGTGGTGGTACACAGAGAGTTTGATTTCCAAATTGAAGATTGAAATTTGTTTTTCAGTGTATCTTTTTTCCCTGTATTATTTACTAATTGTTGTAGGTCTTAATTAAAGTACATACATGTATACCTTGCTTTTTAATGACAAAAAAATCATAAGTGTTTTTTAAAACTTTATATTTTTAGAGCTGCATCAGGCTGGCTCGGGGTGTAGCAGATGTAGACAGTCTTCCACCCAGCATGAAGACCATCCTAACTGGTTCACCATCCAAACACAGGCACTCTATAGCAACACCAGTATCTGTACCCACACTGTCTAGTGGTAAAGTTATTTAAGTACCACTATACATTTGTTATTTCAGTACCACTATACCACATTTGGTATTTAAGTACCACTATACCACATGCAGGTACATGTATGTCAAGGCAGAATCCAGATCATTATATGCCAAATTCACACAATCCAAAAATTTTCATCAATTCATGTTAACCACACAATTCTAGCAGTGCTTTCCAAGTACTATTAAAAACAAGCTACAGATTTGAATAAAAATTTTATTTCAAAGTATGCAAAATAATGTTGAACATTTACATTTTTGTTGTTAAGAATGACAGAGGCTGATCAGGATATCAAAACACTGCCTGTCTTCATTATAAGAAGAAAATTATGAAAATAAATCAGCATATCTGATTCTGAAACTTGAATTCCTTATGATTCACACGTGATATTCACTGTATAGGCTTTTTAACTCCCATTTTGTAGATGTATATTTGTTTACTTGAATTCTTGTTCCATTTCATTTTCACTCCACAAATATTTTATCAGCAGTTATAACATCATAGGTGAGGTGTTTAACCCCAATGACAAATACTTATACCATTCAAAAATGACAAGATTTAGTTTCCTTTTATTTTTAGGACTTGAAATAAGTCTTTAGATATAAATATTAAGAAATCATTATCTCTAAAGTCCATGTCATATAGCTTACAATGACATCCTATTGTAAAGGTAAGTTACATTGTAGAATATCCACTTGCCTATACAATAGGCAAGTGGATACTATTTATCCACTAGTTTTTTCACTCTTGAAAAGTGCTGCTAGAATCCTACTCGCCTGTCACAGAAATTATAATTCCATACTTTCGCATGAAATGTGTCTGAATCCATACCGACTAGTGGTAAAATCAGGTAATTAAGTATATGTACCACTATACCACATTCAGACAATTAAAACGCCAATGTTGATGGTATGATATTTGTGTGTTTTTGAACAATTTTTTTAAACCATACTGATATGATTGTAATATAATTATACCCCTGCTCCGAAGGAGAGGGGGGTATACTGTTTTACCCTTGTGTGTCTGTCTGTCTGTGTGTGTGTCTGTCTGTCTGTAACAAAATTTTTGTTACAGTTTTCTCAGCAACTACTCATCGCAGATGCCTGAAATTTTAGCACATTCCTTGTTTAGACATGCCATATGTTGGGATTAATTTTTGTACGAATCCGATGTCAACTTCCTGTTTGTCCGTGTGTCTGTCCGTACCATATAAAACAAATTTTGGTCTCAGTTTTCTCAGCAACTACTGATTGCAGATGCTTGAAATTTAAGCACATTCTTTGTTTAGGCATATCATATGGTGGGATTAATTTTTGTACGAATCCGATGTCAACTTCCTGTCTGTCCGTGCGTCTGTCCTTACCATATATAACAAATTTTGGTTGCAGTTTTCTCAGCAACTACTGATTGCAGATGCTTGAAATTTTAGCACATTCTTTGTTTAGGCATATCATATGGTGGGATTAATTTTTGTATGAATTCGATGTCAACTTCCTGTTTATCCGTGCATCTGTCCATAACTGAACTTGTGTGTACACATTCACCTCAAAGTCGGGGTATTACTAGTGAGCACTGGCTCACAGACTTCTTGTTTAGTTTGCACGTAGACTACAAAATTTTGTAGATTGAATTTTGATTTTGACAATGCTGCTATGGTTTTGATTTTGACAATGCTGCTATGGTTTTTAAGAATGCAGTGAGACTTGGTTACATGTATGTGAAGTCCTGGGGCCTGCAAATTTCTGCAAATTTACTTCGCTTTATACATAATTCATTATATCTGTATTGGTTAAAGTATATATAGCTAATTCGCAATCTAGATTTTTTCCTTCAAATATGAATACCTAATGTATTTTTGGAAGTATTAAATACAAAAGTTACCTTGGAGTTCACAAGTTTTTCAGATGAATTGAATGTCATATAAAAATACTTACAAAAATAATGTCAGTTCAATATTCTAAAGTTTAAGATCTTTAAAAATCCATTATAACAGATGTAAATTTCATTTTTTTCATTTTTCTTAAGCTCTAGAGGACATAAAATCTGTTTGTTATATCTGTAAATTCACTGTTATCCGAGTTCATTATATCTGTAATTTTTACAAGGAATTGTTGAGAATTCTGTCAGGGATTAAAAAAAAAACTTCTTATATCCATAAAATTGCTATATCCATGTTTGCACATGGAATACAGATAAATTACACAAGGCTGAACAATTTTTTAATTTTGATAAAGAATGTTTCAGTAGTTAAATGATAAAAGAATAGTGTGTGGAATTGTTTCAAAAGGCCTCACCTCCCACAGTTCTTTTCTGATTCCGTCAATCTTTTTACACAAGTGAACTAAAGCCAAGACTCATAATGCTTTTATCAGTTCTGCCATAGCTATTTAAAAAAAAATATGCAAAAATCTATCAAAATGCTCTCTTCTTACATTTCTGGTTTGATGTCAGTAAAATTTGATTTAAGTTTAAAAAATATCAGGATACATATTTGTGTGTATGTAAAGCTAAAACGTGTTTCAAGTCCAGGTGTTATTTTCCTCCTTTATTATAACTACCAACCATTGGAGTTACAGTCTCATCAGAGACTTCTGGATTTTATGTAATATATAGTATTGTTATTGGTGCAATTTAGAAGAATAGATTTTAGATTAAATTATTTTGGTTCTAAGAAGATTTGATTTACAGCCTGTTTTTTTTTTCCTTGTTTAGTGGTCAGTATGTCGTCCCTTGGGGGGATGAAGACTGACTTCCTCTCTCCTGATAAAGAGCAGATTATCCTTACCATGGAAACCCTGGAGAATGAACTCAGACATGGAAAGAAATGCTGTAAAAGGATCGTAACCTGCTTCCTGATAGCTTGTGTAGGTGTTGATGAGAAATTTCTTGTACCATATGTGTATTTGTTCTGTTTGTCAGAAGAGATGAACAGAAAGATTTGAAGACTTCATGGAAAATAGAAATGCAAATTATAGCACTGTATATGATGAATTTGTGATCTTAGTTTATATACAAAATGAAAATTTAAGTTTTAAGTTAGCTTCTATAATATAAACCAACATACTGTACCTTCATATGCAACTTTCTTCAGCAAGTTTCACAAGCATAGGAAGATCCCAAATATTTATTGACATTAATAATGGAAAGTTTGGAATTTAAATTATTAAATTAAATTTAAATCATTTGTGAATTTCCCTTATTCATGAAAGCATACTGATGTGCATATATTTGTAATTATAAAATTATGGAAAGAAGCATATTGATGTGCATATATTTGTAATTATAAAATTTTGGAAAGAAGTACAAATTTTAGATACTTATATTGCTTTAACAGTAAATTAGAGTCACTTAAAACAGAAGTAGATGATTTATGTTACTGATTATGTCATTGTTGTATTTTGCTGTAGACTTTGTGTCAGTCTTATGAGGACATTGTCCTCATTTATGTGTTTGGTGATTATATCATTGTATCTTTCTGTAGACTTTGGGTCAGTCTTATGAGGACATTGTCCTCATTTATGTGTTTGGTGATTATATCATTGTATCTTTCTATAGACTTTGGGTCAGTCTTATGAGGACACTGTCCTCATTTATGTGTTTGGTGATTCTGCAGTCATTGTTGTGTCTTTCTATAGACTTTGGGTCAGTCTTATGAGGACACTGTCCTCATTTATGTGTTTGGTGATTATATCATTGTTGTATCTTTCTGTAGACTTTGGGTCAGTCTTATGAGGATACTGTCCCCTGATTGTGTCATTGTGGTTTGTTTCTGTAAACTTTGGGTCAGTCTTATGAGGACACTGTCCTCTGTTATGTTTTGATGATTATGTCATTGTTGTTCGTTTCTGTAGACTTTGGGTCAGTCTTATGAGGACACTGTCCCCTGTCACGAGTTTGATGTACTGAAACAGCTACTTAGGTCAGAATCTGATCAAAAGTTCCGCTTGGCTGCAGATTACCTCAGCACTACCAACCTAAAGTCAATAGAGGTGAGAATTCAGTGGAGTGTAGCCATTTCATTACTTGTGTTTTTTATTCAGTAATACAGATACAATGTTTTCAGAATATTCTCAGATTCAAAATATCTCATCCTTAAAGAAAAAATCTACTTCTCTTTCTTGACAGATTGCCAGTTTTCTTTGTGATTCTATTGTTGAAGTTTACAAGGTCATGTTTGCAAATGCTACAGGTATAATAATATTACATGTACTATAATAATGTTGCTTTCTTTTAAGACTTTAACTGCTAAAAAGCAAATTAATCGTGCATAAAATCAAATTTCTAAAGTAAAGTTAAACATATCTAAGTTTATCTCTATTTCAGCTGTCAGTAAGAAAGATGGAGCATTAACCTTTAACCCCTCAGAAAAGAGTGAAGATGCCATTAATTTTGTGAAGTTGTGCCCTGTCCCTGCTACTCTGGGGAATAAACTCCTGGAAGCCATGACATCACTCTCTGGGGAGGATCAAGACATTCCAAAACACAGTAAAATTTTCTTTCATGATAAACACTCAACATGATTTGCTCAGTAAACATTAAAGTCTGGGTTTTATTTTTTTTTTTTTTTTATGTTTAAAAATTGTTACATTTACATCATTTGTGATCCTTTAATAAAGTCTTCAAGGATAACCAGATACAGATATCATTCTTATGAATTCATGTAAAATGTTTGAGTTATTTAAGACACAATTGGTTGTTGTAAATTTTCGTGCATATGCCTGTATACACATGTACATGATGTTCAGTTTTGATGTACATTCAATTTTTGTCTAATGATTTTCTGTTTTAGTATTGGACATTCAGACAGAGTTATTGATCTTGGCACATCTGTGTCATTCATCAGTGTGTAACATGGAGGGGATCTCTAACGTCCTCAGGGCAGCAAGGGTGATGACAGAATGGATGGAGAAAGCCGGGGAATTTAGGAATATGGTAAATTACTTGTGAAAGAATCAAAGTATATTTAACTCGAATGTTTTAATATGTGATTTAATTGTTTTTTCAGCATAATCAAAAGATTACACTCCTAAATGATGCAAGGAATATTTTAAAAAATGCTTATATATTATTACTAATATAAAAATGTTTTCTTAGAAATTAAGTCGACAAGAGCAAGTTCATTTGAGACAAAGGTACTTTATCATTTTTTTAACACATTTATATGACTGAATCAAAATCAAACTTGTTTAATTATCTTTGTTTTCTTGAATAGGTGAGACTGTTAACTGGGATTGGTCGCTTCAATGAAATGATTTATGTATTTGATTCACTAAAGCACAATGAAAAGTTTGAGCTACTCCTCAGTAAAGGGATAGAGAAGGTAAGAGCAACAGAACAGTACGTAGGCTGAAACAAGCAACATTATCATAAATATACTCCAAAGGAACTCAACCAGGTACTTGTACTTAGTAAGCTAAAACAAACATTATCATAGAATGGAAAGAAGCAACACTTGGAAGCACATTATTTTCCAGCTTTTCAGATATATTCTTGTAGATAGAAATTAAACAGCATTTAATTATCAATGTAAAGTTTGACTCCCGTTACAGGAGAAGAGTCTGAAGATGGCCATTATAGATTATCTGAAGCGGTACCACCCACATGACAATGAGTCTTTTGACATGGTGGTCCACTACTTTATGATGCATAGAGAGATCGGTCATTTATTGGAGACCAGGGCTCAGCAAATTCTTGAGGCATTCAGAGAAATCCCCATAGGTCGGGACACCAAATCTTCATTAGCTCACCTCAGCAAAGTTCTAATTAGTTTATAATATACTGTCAGTGTCCAAAGTCAATGTTTTTTATTCATTCATTTACAAATACAAAGTATGCCCTTCCTGGAGCAAATTAGGGATGCTCATGCATATGACCCATGTCCTCAGGATGAGTATTCAGTATGGTGTTTGGATCTTTTGATTCACAAGTAACAGTAAGCCCACTCTGCACCACGTTTGCTTGGGTGATGCTTCTAAGGATGTATACTATCATTTTTTTCTTTAAATGTAGCTAAAAATAAAGCTAAAATATTTCAAAATTAAAAGTAAACTACACATGGTTTTGTACAATCTTTGTCAAAAACTGTGCCTCACTTGTGTATATGATCCATTGAGGTGAGCTGTATACAATTTCAATAACCTGTGTTAGTTGAAACTACAGTAAAGTGGAAATGCACAAAAAAGTGATTTGTCTTTACTGAAGTCAGAAGCAAGTTAGTAGTTTAATGTAATTTTAATGTGACTTTGTAGATTCCTGTCAGGAGACCCAAACAAATCTTCAGTCAGTTGTCCAGTTTTACATGGATGCTGCAGAAAGTTACTGCAAGGTATGGTTAATGTTTTTTTCTATCATAATTGTTTAGTTTGATGTATTTTATTGAATAATCATTTCTAAATTCCATCTCGTCAGGAGGGTTGCATGAGACATGCTCAGAACTGCATGAAGCAGGCCAGACTTGTGGCTCTACAGCTACACTATTTAACCTCAGGGGTCAAGGTCATTCATATGTCAGATGAAGAAGCTGACCAATTCATCAAATCTCACCCAAAATTCTCAGAGGTAAGAGTACTATAATAATAAAGTTTAATGATAGTCTTTTGATTTAGTATTTGCAAAGCTACATTTCTTTTAAGATGTGCTAGGTTTGAGTTGTGGCATATTGTTTTAATGAAAGCAAAACCATTTCTTCAAAATTGTTTTTGTTTTAAAGCATGAATCTTAGAGGCTTTAATTGTCAGTGACACTGTTCCTGTGTTGATACATGACTCGGTGGTGACGTAATTTTATAGGCATGATTGTCAGTGACACTGTTCCTGTGTTAATACATGACTCGATGGTGACTTGTAATTTTACAGGCATAATTGTCAGTGACACTGTTCCTGTGTTAATACATGACTCGATGGTGACTTGTAATTTTACAGGCTTTAATTGTCAGTGGCACTGTTTCTGTGTTAATACATGACTCGATGTTGACTTGTAATTTTACAGGCTTTAATTGTCAGTGGCACTGTTTCTGTGTTAATACATGACTCGGTGGTGACTCGTAATTTTACAGGCTTTAATTGTCAGTGAGAGCTACAATAGGACAGGCTGTTGGAGGCATGCTCTGTGTCACAATGTTGTGATCAATGGAGACTTTCGCTACCTCCAGGAATTAAAGAGACACATAAAACTGACATCTTCTCTGATAAAGGAAGTGGTTAAGGTGTAAGTATTCTTATTTTTCTTTAAATAGGTAAAAAAACTAGTCTCTCCAAACCAAGCTGGTAAAAAGCTTTTTTTCAGAAAGGAAAGAGTTGAGTAGGGTGTCAAAATAGGAGGGACGCTGTGCTCATATTGAGGGAGCACTAGAGCAGAAGCCAGTTAAGAGGGATATGGGTTTTTTTTCACTCAGTCTTTGGCAACTAGTGATATTTCTCTTATTATTTTGGCATCTACATGTAATGTAAAGTTGTAGAAGTAATAGCACCTTCTCTAGTTACTACAATGATTTAAATACAGGTACCGCTAACCTTGTCCCTATAAATATATATCAGGTACTTATGACTTTTTTTGCCCATAGAATCCTGGTACATTATCTTTATCACTTATACTGCAAATGCATGTTTTGTCCTTTTTCCCTCTATCTTTTTGATGATAAAGTGAAATATGAGAATTTAAATAACTGTAAAAGGAAGATAACTAATAATTAAAATAAAAGTGATCAAAATCTATCTATGTTATTTCAGATTTCAGCAGGATCCTAACCGTTCTGTTAATCAGAGAAACATGGAGAGGTTTATAATGAACTGTACAGATTTGAGGTTACAGATCCAGTTGGCCCGAGAGCTTGATCTGCGAGGTGTTCTGTCAGATTTACAGAAGAAGGACTGTGGTAGTTATGTACAGGACATGATGGCTAACTCCTAACCACAGAATCACAAGAAATCCCTCTCTTCAAAGGTTGTTTTAATTATCATTTGCTAACATTAACACCTAAAATACTCATGAAAAAACTTAATCATGGAGTGAAATAGATGCTTAGAATACAGACTGGCACAGTTGTCTTCAATTTATGATTTTTTAGGGGAAATATTTGAATTCCAAATATTAACTGTAATTAAAAAAGTAAAATAAAAATGTATGATTTTGATAAAAGATATTTTGACCTTCATTTATTGGAGGTTGATGTTTTTAAACCTTAGCTTTCTACCTGGTGTTCTGGGCTGAACAATGTTTTGTAATATATCATAGTAACCCTCATTAGAAAGAAAAATAAGATGTTATGCTTCGTTTACCCACAGTATTTGCACTGGTTAACTAAGGTGTTTTGTTAGAATTTGCAAAGTTTTACACCATTTTAAATAGCTTGCTATATGCTGTAAAGTGAATAAAGCTCATTTACAATACAACTACTTTTAAGAAGTTAGGCTAGCTAGGTAATTTTGATTGCATAAAAACCTGAGGCACTTGAGTCTTGTATAAAGAGATGGTTGATTTCAAGTATGAAGTTAGAGGTATAAGGCACCATAAAAACCACAGGTAGTGGAAGACAATAGAGAAAACCACAAATACTTAAATTTTAGATTATTACCTTGAATTTTTGTTGGTACAAACATTTACATAATGTAATGAAAAATAGCAGTGTAAGAAAAATCATGTCAGAGAGGAATCAAACTCTGGTCCACAGCTTCTTGAACAAGCACTGACCTATCCAGTAGACATTGAGACAAATTATCTAACAGTGATATTTACTGTGTATTTGTGATGAACTTTGTGATATTATTTATTCTCATGAAAAATACACAAACATATGTGGACCAGCTATGATTTCATTTCTGTCTTCCATATAGCTGCTGTCATCATGTTTTGTACCACACTGTAGATTTACAGCTGCTGTTGTCATGTTTTGTAACACCCTGTAGATTTACTAATTACTGAGGAATCATTTTAATTTATGGGGGGTCAATATTTGTGGTCAACCAGAACTTTTTCTGATTCATGGGAATGTAATTAAATGGATAACTTGTATATACAGTGAAATATATGGAGATAATGAACAGTATTCAAGCTCAAAAGTCCATTAAACAATACAAAATAGGAGCAGAGCAAACATGGACCTCAAAAACATCAGAGGTGGGATCAGGTGCCATGGAGGAGTGAGCACCCCCTGCCGACCGGTCACACCCGCCGTGTGCTCCTTGTCATGATTGGGAAATAACGGAAAAATCTGTCAACAATTGTGTGTAAATAATGGCCTAACAATTAGTATGAAAAAAGTCAGTCAGCATTTGACTCAATGATAAATTGTATTTGCTGACTAGGTCATTGTTTCGACCATAGAACTTACGAAATGATGACTTTAATCGAGACTGCTGAAATTCTTGTTTCATCAACTTGTTTGTCAGTAAGTTACCTCGTTTTAGAAATTGTACATACATAGAGCATGCTCTTGCATATCGAATCAACTTAGAGATATAAACCCCGTATGCAGGTGATGAAGGTATATTGCTGCATAAGTAAGGGAAGTTGATTGAAAAGTTAGAGTCATCACGTTTATCATAAAGCTTGGTTGTTAGATTACCATTAACGTCTTTTTCAAGTAAAATATCCAAATATGAAACAGATGTGTCAGACTCTGTGGTATCTTTTATCTCAAGCTCACCGGGATATATGGTATCGACATAAGAATGGAAATAACCATTGTTAATTGACAATATATTGTCGATATATCTAAATGTTGAGTTGAAGGCCGTAGCAAGTGTTTCTTTCTTTTCACGTATAAGATTTTGGACAAATTCTGCTTCATATGAATACAAAAAAAGGTCTGCTAATAACGGGGTGCAATTGGTACCCGTGGGAATTTCAATAGATTGTTGGAAGACCTGGTCTCCAAAAACCACATAGATATTGTCAATCAGAAACTCAAGCATCTTTTTAATGTCAACTTCAGAGTACTTGTGTGTACAGAGGATTCAATGATGCTGTACATTGACAAAGTCACTGTTTGTGGGGATATAAATTCGTGGGTAAGGATAACTCACAAAAACTATGAACATTGGTCCCCCAAGAAGAATAATGGTTCCATGTTTATAATTGTGTAATGAATCGGTAGTTTTCAAATACAAGGTATATGATGTATCTGCTTATATGAAGTCTCATTGAGATTGTATATTTTTCTAAAATTTTTCAAGAATGAATTTATTGTTACCATTGCTGTATTTATTTTATTTAAGGAAAAAAATGTGGAAAAAAAAATAGTAGCTTGACTTGAATTCAAGACCACTAAAAATCCTCAAATATTGTACTTTAAAAGGACATTCTGACACACTAAAGATGCCTATTTCAAGGGGCAATTGTTCATTTAAGGTGCTTAGATACTGAGCTATAAATGTTTTGTGAGGTTTGTGCAATACAGATTATTTATTCAGAGAATAAGAAAAACAGAATATTATGTGGGATGATGAATACTTTAAAGTGAAAAAAGAAAACTTTTTATACCCCACGCAACAAGTTGCGTGAGGTATAATGTTTTTGACCCGTCCGTCCGTCAGTCAGTGTGTCAGTCAGTCCTTCAGTCCTGTTTTTTTGTCAGCGCAACTCCTCATAAACCGCTGCACAGAATTTGATTAAACTTTGCAGATATTTAGTATACAGTGTGCAGATGTGCATATTACCAGGAAATTCCGATTCCATTATTTTTCTGGGAATTTCGGCAATTTTCAACTTAGATTTTTGGCCATATCTTAAATACAGAGATGAACAGTTTGTCAGCGCAACTCCTCTGAAACCGCTGCACAGAATTTGGTCAAACTTTGCAGATATTTAGTACATAGTGTGTAGATGTGCATATTTCCAGGAAATTCCGATTCCTTATTTTTCTGGGAATTTCGGCACTTTTCAACTTAGATTTTTGGCCATATCTTGAATATAGAGATAAACAGTTTGTCAGCGCAACTCCTCATAAACCGCTGCACAGAATTTGATTAAACTTTGCAGATATTTAGTACACAGTGTGCAGATGTGCATATTACCAGGAAATTCCAATTCCGTTATTTTTCTGAGAATTTCGACACTTTTCAACTTAGATTTTTGGCCATATCTTGAATATAGAGATGAACAGTTTGTCAGCGCAACTCCTCATAAACCGCTGCACAGAATTTAGTTAAACTTTGCAGATATTTAGTACACAGTGTATAGATGTGCATATTAACAGGAAATTCCCATTCCTTTATTTTTGCCTTAAGAGTTTTTCCCTATTATTGAAGAAACTTTCCAGCTAGATAATAAGGAAATCCACTGGAATCAGCTTTCGTAATGAAATTTTATGTGAAATATTTTATGACCTTAAAAGACCTATATTGATTTTGAGATCAAAATGTTAATGATTTAACACACACACACAAAATTTGGGATAGTTCTCAACCCCCTCCCCCCCCCCCCTTCAAATTGGTGCTTTGCCTTAAATAATTTCATAAGTACAGTATATAAACAAATTCATATGACTACATCGTAATTTTGTTTCCATCAATTACTTAAATGTGTAAATTTTCATGTGTTGGAGATGGACTTACACTCATTAACAAATCGAAATCACTGAGGAATTTAAATAACAGTTTGTCAGCATAACTCCTGCACTGAATTTCCTGAAACTTTGTAGGTATTTCAGACATACAATGTAATGTATAGATTTGTATATTACCAAGAATTTTTGATTCCATTATTTATCTAGAAACTTCAGCCCAATTTTTGTAACATACAAAGATTTGAATGTCCTTATATATGCAAAAAGTTTTGATGTGATGATTTTTTGCAAGTAATGCCCCTTTTTTGAATTATACTCTGTTTTTAAAATAAATGGAGCGTGGGGTATGTGAGCTTGCTCACTTTTTCTTTCATTATTAATAATGTTGTCTGAGTCACAACCTAGGTTCAATAACTGTTGAAACAATATTTTATTTCATAGCTACTTTTGGGAGAGGATTCTTATGAAATCGTAGGAATTTTAGCAAGCAATATCTTAAAAAGTAATTGAATACGATTGTTATATTTTTAATTCAGGAACATGTCATTAAAACAAAACAGAAGTAGTATTAGTGAATTTGATTCCACTAAACTTTTGAATATGCTCAAAATTTGTACTATAAAAGGACATTGTGACACAATAATTTAAGGCGCTTAGAAACAACTATAAATACTTTGCATGCTTTGTGAGATTATGTGCAATACAGATTATTTATAGGATCAATTCAAAGAATAAAAAAGGCCCAAAAGTTTTGGGTAATAAATACTTTTAAACGATTTAAAAGAAAAAAAATATTATAAATCATTCATTCTAACAACCTAGTTTTAAGAGGCCTGCATCGTCAGAGCCATATTTAGACTAAATGTATTTAAACCTCCTGGAAATAAAAGCTCTGTATAGATATATTATAAACTGCATTAAATGTTATAGCTGAAACGTGTGTATTTTTGGTTTTTGTTTTCCCCCCCACTAGATTATAGTTTATGGCTAGGAGATTTTTAGGTGGATTTGTTGATTACCCAGCCTCCTTAATAACAATATTTCTTTTATAGCCTATTTTTCCTTTTTAAGAAAATCCTTATAAAATCCCAGGAATTTTACCAAGCAATATTTTAGTAAGTTATAAAAGTCTAACTTCAGACATGAAAGTAAAGTACAGTATAGAATTGAGTAGTGTACACATTGCATATGCAATTTAGCCCTCAGTCCCCTAAAATTATGATTTGAATACTTGATGGCAATCAAAATGAAATGCTAAAACTCAAATGAATATGAATCATAGATTATGTGTCGTGCAAACAAAGACAGCTGTGGATTGTTCCTGGCGTTCTACCCGAATGCCCAGTAAGTTTGATTTGATGGAGACTGAGTCAGCCTCGTTATAACTGTCTGTGTTAGATACGATCATCTCTTCAGTCAGTCCGTAGAGTACTGCAATATTTATGTAATCAATAATTATCAAATTAATGACCGAAAAACTGACTGCATCATTTTTGTCCGTGAGTCTTTTATTGGAAATCCCCACTGCTGCACAGATACGAGAAATAATAAATATACATGAAAATAAATAATTGATAATAAATTAATATATATAAAGCACATTAATGGACAGGTTTCTCTACCTTATTTTACT